ACAGGGCTGCCGCAGAAAAGACGTTCCCAATATTAGAGGAAAGAAACAAAATCAGCGTTGAGAGGCGTCCTTGCTACAAGGATGTTCTCAAGGACGAAAAAATTTTTTTCCTGCATCCAGACAGAAAAAAACAAGCCAACAGGTGACTTGCACAGATGAAATAAGTAAATAAAAGCAGCTGGTCTGCCTTGTCTCCTCACACCACTCAGAGCCCAAAGGTGATGGGCAGCATCTATGGGAAGTTCTGGGCAGCTGTGCAACCCCAGGACATGACCTTGCAACACAGGCATCAGGCAAACGTCTGCAGACGTGAGAAGGTGAAAATCAGGCAGTCTAGGACACAGGAAGAGAGAAGCGTGGTTGAAGTGCAGTGGCGAGCTGTGAGTCCATGTCACCATGGAGAGAACACTGTGTCACAGCCCCTGGGTACGTGGGAGGTGTGGGAGCCCCAGCCACAGGGGCAGTGGGTTGTCCATGGACACTCAGACTCAAGGGAAGCCTCTCTCTGGGGTTAGGCAGATCCTTCAATTTCACAACTATTTTAAAATATTTTCTTTGTTAAATTCAAGTAAAGTTCAATTGAATGTTGAAAGCTTAATCAAAATCAGAGGAGTAGGAATGGCTTTTTAAAGCATAATACAAAATTCAGAAGCCATATAACAAAAGAATAGATTTACCCAAAGAGAAGATGTCTGCATAAAACAAAACAACACAAAGTAAAAAGATAAATGGCCATACCTTTGACAGTGAAAATATCCCTGGACCAGTACGAGAGGAGCAATGTGTTGATAAGAGGCTTGAAAACATGTGAAGTTGCAGACAAATGCTGTGAAGAAACAGGTCGCAGAACAGGAAAAAATGTCTCCCAAATGTGAAGAGAAGTTAGACTTAATCTGCCATTTCTGATTTGCCTGGGATGAGGACAGGGCTGCCCACCTCCCCTCATGGGCAGATGTGGCAAGCACTTCCGCACAGAAGGACACAGGTGAGCCCTCAACTTAAAAATGCTCCCGCTCCCAGGATTCTGCCCTCACAGAGTGTGCCCATCGCTCACGGCAGAAACAAGTGTCTGTGTGTGGATATATGTTTCTCAGTGAGTAAAAAGTGCAGATTAATTTTTTTCCGGTGGATTTTCAGGGCTTACTTCTGAGCAAGAACATCTGGTCTGAAGTTGGCCTCTCACCTGCTCATTTCCCAAATTAATAAGATTTTGTAGTAACCAGCTGCCATACAGGAATGCAGCAAAGGATTAGCTGATGGTGTCAACCGGGACTTCCAGTTCTTAAAGTGCAAAGTTTGTTGTTGTTGTTGTGTTTAAGGATAAGGCTGGTCCCTCGGCACCTTCCCACCCCGTTGACCCTGCAGTTGTCAAAGGTAAACTCATAAAGCTCATGATCTCTGGTGAATCTCTGATTTTGGAAGAGATTGTGACTAAACATTAAGTCCTGACCATACATACAACCTGAGCCAGCTCTGGGGATCCCTCGCTGCTGCCTCAGCAAGCAGCCTACTAGAGTTCAGAGGTCACTTAGTGCCCCCTAAGTTTGGCTGTAGGCCCTGTGACCTGTGGTGCTGTATTTTGGTCACTGGATCCAGTATTCCAAGAGGCCTGAAGACCAGTAGGCACCTCCTGGATGCTCTGGAGCTTTGCTGGACAGGTGCCCATCACGTGGCCCGTAAAAAGCAAGAGGGAGGTGATCCAAGATGGCAGCAGAGTAGGTGAAAGCTACACCAACCTGCTCCCAGGACCAAACTGAAATTATAACTAAATTATAGAAAAATCATCCTGAGTAACCTACTGAACACTAGCTGGAGAGAAGCCTTAGAACCAAGGACTTACGAAAGAAAGCACATAAAACACATCGAGACTGAGTTTGTTGCAGATCTACCTAATACATAGAAACACGAAGAAGCAGCCAAAGTGGGAAGAAAAAGAAACAGGCCCCAAATGAAAGAACAAGACAATTCTCCAGAAGAACTAGATGAAATGGGGGCCAGCAACTTATCAGATAGAGTTTAGAGTGAAGGTTATAAGGATGCTCAACAGCATGAGAAAAGACATAGGAACCCTGAAAAAGGACCAGTCAGAAATAAAGAATGAAATATCTGAAATAAATAATGCACTGGAAGAAATAAACAGTAGATTAGATGAAGCATAGGATCAAAATGGTGATTTGGAAAACAAAGTAGGAAAAAAAACACCCAAGCAGAGTGGCAAAAGGAGAAGGAGAAGAGAATGAGCAAGGGATTGAGAGCTATTTGAAGAAATGATGACCAAAAACTTCTCTAACCTGGTGAAGGAAAAAAAGCACACAAGTCCAGGAAGTGCAGAGTCCCAAACAAAATGGACCCAAAGAAGCCCACACCAAGAAACATCATAATTAAAATGGCAAAGGCAAAAGACAAAGAGAGAATCTTACAAACTACAAGAGAAAAGCAGTTAGTTACCTATTAGGAGGCTCCCATTAGACTATCATCTGATTTTTCAAAAGAAACATTTCAGGCCAGAAGGGATTGGCATGAAATATTCAAGGTGATGAAAAGCAAGGGCCTACAACCAAGGTTACTTTACTCAGTAAAAGGCAAAAGGAACAAGTAAGGAGGTTGCCATACATACAGTCTCTGCTGGAGCCTGGCCAAGACATGAAGGACAGGAAACATGCATTTTTATAGAAAACTGATTTGTATGAATGGATGGTGAATGGAGCTAGAGCCTCCAGATGGGTGGCCCCCAACACAGCTGGCTTGGAGCTCCTGTGAATTCATGGGGGCAGGAGAGGATGGCACCCCCAACCTCAGAGAAAGGCATTTCCTCACCAATGGCCCATGCAAGGACAGAGAAGCAAGGCCAGGGACCACTGGCCTTCTAAACCCAGCTCCTGGACACCAAAGCCATTAAGAAAGAAGAGAAGACCATCAGCTCAGTTCTCTCTGGACATCAATAAACAGTTAGGGAGGGTCCAGATGGAGGGACATGTTCCCCAGTCCTTTCCAGAGTCCACCAGGGAGGGGCCTTTAGACCCGTTAGAATGCAGATTGCTGGACAGCCCAGGACCTTCGGAGCCTGCTGTCTGGAGTGGGGCCATGGAACCTGCAGGAGGATCTTGTGCTGCCCTGTGCACTTGGATGTCAGGACCACAAGCCACAGGAAGGCAACAGCCTGCCAGGTCTCTTCCCAAAGCAAAGGCAGCCCCCAGCGTCCCAGAGCCAGGGCATTCGGAGCATGCTGTGGCAGAAGGAGATGGTATCTGTGTGTCCTTGGCCAGAGGCCAGCTCTCTGTGCGGATCTGGGAGACCAGCTGCTACCCAGGACAGGGGCTCTCTGACGCTGTCATTTGGGAGCAGAGCTGGGTCTGGGGTAGGCCATGCTGGACTCCTGCCCTTTCTCACCCAAATGATGGCCTCTCCCAAGCTTGGGGAGAACAATTTCCAGGGGGTGTGAGCCTGTAAACTCTTATGGGGCCAGGATGTTTTCCTGCTGAGCAGCCAGGCAGGACCTGAGGATCTCAAGGACACAGGCCCTCCGTGTTCAGAAACAACATCCCTCATTCCAGGCGGCCGCTTGTCATCTGTCCTCAGGCATGTGGCAACACCCAGGCACTAGTCTCCTGGACCTTCGAGTTTATTCATGAGGGTGGGAACTCCTTCTGTGGGCTTCCTGGGAGGTTCCCTTGGGGTGGGGCAAAGAGATGCTACCTCCGCCTGATGTGTGTGTATATCATATTGGAGGGGAAAGCAAGACCCGCTCAGGATGCGAGATGTGCAGCTGGGCTGGAGGCTCCGGAGGGCCTGTAGGCCTCTGAGCATGGGACCGGGACCCCCAGCAGGGGTCTAACCCATTCTGCCTCTCACAGCTGAAACCTCATTCTTACCAAGCACGCAGGGGGGCCTTGTAGGTCATAGGTCACAGGCCAAAGGCCGTGGTACCTGGAAGGTCCTGTACTGGATATGTCATTTGATTTCTCGGCCAGATTGGAGAGGGCTGTCCTCGGGGAGCCCCCACAATGACCCGTAATTACAAGTGAGGAAGCAGGCCAGGGAGGGGTGAGGCAACGTGACAAGTGGGGCTGCGTCAGAACCTGCAGGACCCAGCCTCTGAGCTGGCTGCCGCCTCCGGCCTCACCCAAGAATTCTTCCTGAGATGGGACAGGATCTGCACAGGGCAGGACCCTGGCAGGACAGCGCCCTGTGCTCTGCACCCCTCTCCTGCCCACTGGGAATGGGGGTTCAGGCAGGCAGGAGACAGCTCAACTGAGAATTTCAGATGAGATCGGGCGTGTCCAGGGTGGTATGGCTGTGGACTCAACTCAGAATTTCAAAGAAGGCCTCTCAATAAGCAGGACTTCAGTGGATAAAAAGATAATTATGCCAAATATTGCTTAAGCAGAAGGAGTCCATTGCTTCTGTCAGCATTTCAACTATTTTGAAAGCAAGCTTAACATAGGAAATATCACTTTTTTTCCTGAGTCTTACAATAGAACAAAGGAGCAATGGGCTCCAATAGGCCTGCACAGAGGGGGCCTCCGCCCCCTGAGGTCCTGGCAGGGTTGACAACCCAGGGGGTCGAGGGGGCCGAGGGGCTGACCGTGGGAGGGAAGACCTGTAGGGGCCACGGTCCCCTGGAAATTAGAATGTGGACAGTAGAGCTAGTTTCTTTAGGGAGTCCTGGAGACCCTGATGTTCAAAGGCTCTGTTCCTGGGAAGGGGCCATTCTCTGGGCAGGAGACGGGGACCTGGAGAGGGTGTACTCTGGCCAGGTCCCAGAGGGCAGCTGACAGTGGACTGCCACATGAGTGGGACAGAGGGAAGCATCCACAGGCTGGATGTGGGGCCTTGCTTCTCAAGCCCATGTCTGTCCTGTGATATCAGGATGGCCCTCCCATGGGGCCCCCGCCTCCAAACACTCCACTCTCCCTCCCCTTCCCTATTGGATCCCACTTCCCCCAACCTTTCCTTCCCCCGAGGGGTCCTGGCCCCCTTGACGCTCTCCTCTCCCACAGGTTTCCACCTGTCCCACAAGGTCACCAGCGTGGTCCCTGAGAGTGCACTGCTCATCGTACTGGGCCTGATGCTAGGCGGCGTTGTCCTGGCGGCCAGCTGCACTGCATCCTTCACACTCACGCCCACTGTCTTCTTCTTCTACCTGCTGCCGCCCATCGTGCTGGACGCCGGCTACTTCATGCCCAACCGGCTCTTCTTCGGCAACCTGGGCACCATCCTGCTGTATGCTGTCATCGGTACCTTGTGGAACGCGGCCACCATTGGCCTTTCTCTCTATGGCGTCTTCCTGAGCGGCCTGATGGGTGAGCAGGTACCCCCGTTCACCAGGCAGACTCTGCAGATTGGGTGCCATCCGGGTGGGCTTTGCAGGGTGGGCACCATAGGGTGGACTCTGCTGGGCTGTCTCTAAGCAGCCCTATTTAACAAAGCTCAGTGTGCCCTGGCTGGTGTGGCTCAGTGGATTAAGGGCCGGTCTATGAACAAAAGGGTCGCCAGTTCGATTCCCAGTCAGGGCATGTGTTTGGGTTGCAGGCCAGGTCCCCAGTTGGGGGTGCACGAGAGGCAACCAGACATGGACGTTTCTCTCTTTCTCTTTATCCATGCTTTCCCCTTTCTGTACAAATAAATAAGTGAAACAAAAGAAAGCAAGCAAGCAAGCAAGCTAGCTCAGGTGCAGAACACAGACCTTAAAAGTGGTGTTTTCAGTCAGTGAGAAAGGTCACCAGTCAGTGGAAAGGTCCACTGAACCCTCTTGGTTTGTTTAAATAAGGTTCAATTCATAAATGGCTGGTCCATGTACAGCCTGGCATCCCCAGACCAAGGCATGTGTTCTGCTTGGGAATAAAGTCCGGTTGGACCAGGTAGGCCCGTGGGCTGGGCAGGTAGGAACAGCCCAGCTGCCATCCCTCCCATTTGGCAGAGAGATGGAATCCAGGCCCAATCCCCTGTCACCAAGCCCCCAGGGACAAAGAGGAGGAGGCCTCTTTGGCAGAGGCCTGCGTCTGAGCCACGGGCCCAGGTAAACACTCACCGAAGCAGAATGTTTGGGTGTCCTTTCTACCCAAACCGTGGAGAAAAGGCCACACCTTTTCACATGCAGCCAAAGCTACTCCCCTGCCATGTTTTCTGCAGTTTGGTTACTTAACTCAGCCCTGGCGGACATGCAAGGTCACCCCACCCACCTGCGGGCTCATCATTATCCACCTGGGAAACTGGAGCAGGTGAGGCCAGGGGTTCACCTGAGGCTTGGCACAGATGTGCCGGCATGGTACAGCCCTAAATGCTGGCCTGTCCGGGGTTACGATGGCTGCCCCTGTTGCATCATGAGTCTGCAGGTTTGCTGTTGGCACTGGGGTAATCAGGACAGTGAGAGGGTGGGTGTCGGCACCCGCGACACCGGTCTGAGCATGCAGCCCCACCTCGCACACTTCCTCTATCGGAACCGGACTCATGGGGATGAGCCCAGGTTAGCGATATGCCATCTGACTGAAGGAAGATCCTAGTACCCACCTCCCGTGTGGCTCAACACCTTTAAATCCTAGTGAGAGAGGAGATGCATTGAGAAACGTTCCCCTGATGAGAACGGTCACCTCGCCCAGCATATTTATCACCTTCGGACTTTGTCCTTACCCCACAGGAAGCGTACATCTTCCCTTGAGCCCCTTGCTGTTAGCACCACCCACCAGTCCCAGCCCAGAGAGACCAATCAAAGGTGACATGGTGTTACACTCACCTAGAAGCTGCAGGATCACGCAGTGTGATTAGTTTACATTTATTGGCAATGCCTTCAGGTAGTCAGGACATACCTAAGATGACATGGCCATCTCTGGCTGCTGGTCCCAGAGAAAAGTTTCAGGGTTTAGAGCAGGGACACCTGTGACTGGCACCCCAAGACACAGCTGGTTGGGCTGGTGTCAGCCCAGGTCATGGAGCAGAGCAGTGTCCAGGGCCAACATGTCTGTTCTGTTCCCGGGTAAACGAGAGCTGGGAGCCAGTGGAGCTAGGAGGGCAGGAATCCATCTGTGCAGATCGGCGGCTTAAGGCCCAGTGCACCCCTCTGAGAAAGGGCAGCCTGGGCATCCTGGGTCGCTGTCCACGTGAACCAGCTGAGGGGCAGGACCTGCAGAAGCTCCAGGCAGTTGGAGAGGCCCCTGTAGGTGGGTGAAGCCACCGGTCTTATCCGAGGTAGAGGGAGGAGCTAGAATGTACAGTCTGGTGGCCATCTCCCCCTCTACATCTCCTCCCTCTACAGTCTAGTCCACAGAGCTGTCCTAGCCGGGTCCGTGGGTGGTAGATTCTCCCACCAGGGAGGAGGTCAGGCTGCTCCTAGCCCCAGGTTGCATCCTGCTTGGAAGGGCTGGCTCCTAGAATGTACTACTGAGTAGGTCAGGGCCCTCTACAACTCGAGACTGATGTTCCGGGAAGCTTTTAAGGATTGATGGGCCTGGACAGAGAATGTGTCTGGGAACCCCTGTTGTTCGAACCCAGGTGTTCTCACATCTGCCAACCGACGGTGTCTGGGGTGGAAAAGCAAAACCTGTGATCCCCATTCCAAATGGGGCATTTTAAACTCACTGGAAGCTGGTTCTTTTAACACCTGTCACTTCCTCAGGACACTGACAGGGATGCCAGGCTGTGGGGCTTTAGGGGCTCCCAGAAAACTTCCTCTGGGGACAAACCCCTCTGCAGAGACTGCCGTCTCTGGGGGCCCTGGGGGCACGGTTGGGCCCTGAGGAAGGGCTGGGCTCCTGCAGACGCCCCGTCCCACAACTTAGCGCAGCACCCAACCCAAGTGTCCTCAGGCTTCCCCGCCCTCCCCCATCTTCCCTGCCCTGTAGGTGGGTCTCTTCCTGCTCTCAAGGCCTGACTGGCTCCTGGGCCCCTGGGGTCCACTCGGACTGGGGCGGGGACTCAATGCCAACAAAGCAGCAGGGAGGCCCACAGTCAAGGTCGTCCTCCAACCAAGCCCAGCTGAGAGCAGGCCTGACACCTGGACTGAGCCGGACAGGCAGCCACATGCCCCTCCCTGAGGCTGTGGGTTCATCGCTGGAAAATGGGGTCTGCACGTGGCCTGCTGGTGACCTGGGACCTGAGATAACTCTGGGAGGACTGCAGAGGGTGAAAGTGCATTTTAGCACCACCTCCCCACCCGAAGGCATCCAGGAACCCTTGGGCAGGAACTGTGCAGCAGAATGAAGCAGGGGACTGGGCTCCACGTGGACTGTTCTTTCCAGAGCCCCCTTCTTCCCCCCAGCCACCGCTTCCCCCCCCCCAGCACCCCCAAATGTATCATCCACCTCCCTCCTCTCCTCTCTCCCCCATTCCCTTGTAGCCACCCATGTTAGGGTCTTTGGGGTTTCCCAAGGGCAGCCATGGCACCCACGGTCCGATGAGGCCTGCTGCCACCCCGTCACCTCCCCTCAGGCAAGTCCTGGCTGTTCCAACCATGGCTGAGGCATCATTTCTCTGGGAGGCCTTCTCTTACCCAATCAAGTCCCCCAACACCTTCCCAGCACCTATGACCCTGCATCCGTACTCACGCCGACCTAGGCTGCAAACCCCCCAGGGCCGGGGTCTGACTGCATGTCTCATGGCCGGGCACCCCCTGATACCCTTATCTGCCCGCAGTGGGCTCCCTGGTGAGCCAGCCAACAGGGCTCATGCAGGCCTAAGGGGAGACGAAGAAGAGAACCAGGGGCGGTCAGTCTCCTGTGGATCGGCTGGGGTGCCCTGCCTCTCTTGAAAGACTACAGAGGCCCCCGAGGAAGGCCGGTAGACTGACTTGGGTTCCCACACCAGCCAGCCTGAACCCCAAGAGTCAGAGTCCTCAACCCCGGGGGTTCGCAGCCCAGCAGTTGCCAGGTCAGCAGCCTGAGGCAGCCCTAGAAAGGCCAGTGATATGCTCTTGCCTTTGCTCCCATAACCCCTCTTCTCTCCTGGGGTCTGGTGACCGGGGACATTGCAGGGACCCTCACCTGCTCAGCCCTCTAAGGCTCTCCCTGACACCCTGCTTGTCTCCCAGGACACCTGAATATCGGGCTGTTGGATTTCCTCCTGTTTGGCAGCCTAATCGCTGCCGTGGACCCGGTGGCTGTCCTGGCGGTGTTTGAGGAGGTTCATGTCAACGAGGTCCTGTTCATCATTGTCTTTGGGGAGTCCCTGCTGAACGATGCCGTCACTGTGGTGAGAGAACGGGGGGTGGGTCCTGAACTTGCCACAGAGCATTCAAAGCTGTTGGTGGGGGGAACCATGTTTACTGTGCTGGAAAACACAGGCCCCCACCCCCAATCCCTAGGCATCGCCAGTCCCTCAGTGCGTTCAGCACAGGGAGAGCCTTGCCGAGGTCACCCGCAGAGCCCGAGCTGCCTGCTGGCCCCAACACCCTGAAGCCTTCGTGGTTAAACAGCGTTCCCCAGGCCAGCTCCTCCCGTGGGGGGCCTTTTCCTCCACTTCCTCCTAATGGGGAATGCCTGGCAGTTGTAATTATACTTCTTCATTCATTCTTTCACAGTTCTAAGCATCCCCTGCCCCCCACCCACACTTCATTCCTTCACAGGTGACGATTTCACTGTTGAAATTCCATGCTCTCTGCTCCCAGAGCAGGGGGTCTTTAACTTTGGGTCTGCAGTTGGTGCCCTCCTTCCTGACTTTCCAAAAAACATTAATAAGTAAACAAATACAATCTCACTGGAATTAGGGAGGGGGATCAGCTAGCGCTGACCATGAGCCCAGGAAGGTGGTTTTCCCTCCTCATGGAGGTGGCACCAGGGAGCTTGGCAGGGGCCCTGGGTGGGCAGGGCTAGAGGCCAAGTGAAGAGAAGATTCACGAAAACGTGAGGAACTGTCTCAGCACTGTGGCCATGATGACGTTTTCAAAGCCCAGTCCCAGACTGGGCCACAAGCTTGCTGGAAACAAATGTGCCTCCAGGATGGCTCTAGGCCTGGCTGCATGCCCCACTGCCCCCCACCTCGGCCCGCAGGCTCGGCAGATGCAGTGGGACCTGGCGTTCCCTCTTTGCTCTAAACATGCCCATGGCTTCTCTAAGAAATTCTTGCCCTGACGTCCCTTCAGGGTTCAGAAGATTGAAGAACCTAAAGGAAAATTGCACCAGCTTCTTTATGTGGCGGATGAGATAGTCTCCAGGGAATTAGAAGTAATTGGAGACTTAATCAGAAATGCAGTGCTTGCCCCTTCAAGGCGGGGGCTCCTCGGTCCTGCGGCTTTTATGTCTCTGTAGAGGCGTGAACTCCTGCGGAGCCAGGGTGTTCTCCACTCATCTCCTGCATGAGGCCCCGTCTTCCCTCCCACCTGGGTTTTCACAAAGAAGCTGCGCAAGCGGTGGTCTGGTTCCCCATAACCTTCACATGTGTACTCCATCCATGTTCACAGCACTTGTGTGCCTCCTTTTGTAAATACAGCTTTGCACACCCACCCCTTGGGGGTCCTGAGGAGCACAGGCTTGGGGGCATAGAGGTAAGTGTCTTCCCGAGGGGCCTACAGCCCACCCGGGACAGCACCTCAGCTTCCTTGGGGTGGAGCCTGGCGCATTGTGTAGGAGGAGAGCTCAGGCTCAGAAAACACAGCTGTCTCTACAACTGAGGCCTAGGATAAGGTTTCTGGGTGTTTCATCTCAACGTCTTGGTGGGATAAGGTTTAAACATCAACATTCAGAGATGCCAGGAGGTGTGATCCCACATCAGGGGGCAACATAACAGCAAAGTCACTAAAGATGAAACTGAGTTTGCCTTGGAAAATGAAATTGAGAATTGCACGCAGTGGGTTAGCTTTGTGGCCACCCCCGTTTTGCCCAGAGTAGGAAAGGGCCAGGTTTGCTTCTGAAGGTTCTAGTTCCTTTCAGAATGCTCTGCCTCCCAGATCCCACCTGCTGGCTCATCTCTGGCCTTCTTCCTATTGACCATTACTGACCTGTGATGATTTTCCTGCCAGCAGTTTTCAGGTTACAAAATAGGTGGCTGCTATAAGCTCCTCTCTTTAGCCTCAAGTCCTGCAAGGCTTGGGGCCCGAGACAGGGAGGGGGTCAGTGCTGATGGAGGGCTGACCCCATGTCTGGTTTGCCTCTCTGTCCCCCAGGTCCTGTACAACGTGTTTGACTCTTTCGTGAAGCTGGGTGGTGACAAGGTGACTGGCATGGATTGCTTGAAAGGCATAGGTGTGTGGTTGGTGGGTCCATGTGTCAGGGGAATGCCAGGGCTGTGTCTCCTTCTCTAGAATGCAGGCCACTTCTGGGCAGTGTGTCTGTGGACTACAGAGCTGGGCTGGGCCAAGCTTTGGCCCAAGGTCTGCCCCTGGGACTACACGGTTTGACAGTCCTTTCTGTCCCCAGTGTGTTTCGCAAACACACTTTCACTGGGTTCTAGCCACCCTGGGAAGCCCGAGGGTCATGGCCCCATTAGACCCACGAGGATATCAGGTTGGAGGATGTGGGTCCTGGTGTCCTGGGGGTCCCAGATGTTTCTCTGGGCAGGGATAAAGGCAGCCTGGCTGCGCCTGTGGGTGCAGGGCTTGGTCCTTGTGGCAAACCCACGCCCGAGGGCCGCTTGTTACAATGCCCTCTCTGTGATGGGGACAGGGAGCTGGGCCTCCTGTGAGCCACAGGTCTGTCCCCTCCCCAGCTTTCCACAGTGAGGCTGGAGGAGTCCAGGCCTCTCTGCCAGAGAATGGGCCTCTTATTTGCTGAGCTGTTGGCGCCTCTGTTAGGGGGGTTACCAGGCAACTGCCATGAAGAATGGCCTGGAAGGAAGACCAGCCTGACTGGCCTGGCCCACGCCACATGGGTCAGGCCACGTCGAGGCCACAAAGGGCCATTCAGGAAGCCCAGCGTTGCGTCCTTGCCCCTTGCAGTGTCCTTCTTCGTGGTGAGCCTGGGAGGCACGCTGGTTGGGGTGGTGTTCGCCTTCCTGCTCTCACTCGTGACCCGCTTCACCAAGCACGTGCGCATCATCGAGCCCGGCTTTGTGTTCGTCATCTCTTACCTGTCCTACCTCACCTCCGAGATGCTGTCCTTGTCAGCCATCCTGGCGTAAGTCTTCCCGCACTCACGCAGGCCCCAGAGCCCAGAGCACACCCTGGCGGCCCTGCTGAGCAGGGTGGGCGGTGGAACACGAAGGCTGTTTAAACAGGGGAGCAGGACCCGCCCAGGCGAGGGGGAGGCAGGAGTGGAGCCTTTGCTCCCACAGCCCTTCAGATGGCACAGCGTGTCACAGCCCCTTCTCCAGCCCACTGTCTGCCTGGCTCACTTCCCAAGCTGGGTGGGACGTCACTGTGGGGGCAAAGAATTTGATCTGTTTAGCTTTTTAAATAGGGAGTTGGAGTTCTGATGCAACTGTCCTCACTGCAGGCCCACTCCGAGCCGGAGAGGAGGGGCTTTGCGTTGCTGGCCCACACCCCGCCCTCCCTGCCGGACCTGCCCCGCCTTCTCCTAGAGCCAGCCTGCCTGGCTGGGCCAGACACGGGCAGCCTGCCCCGCAGCTCAGCGTTCAGGTCCCAGAGGTTCATAATCAGATGGCAGTGATGTTAGGGTGCTGGAGCCAGGCGTGTTCCCAGCTCAGGTTGCTGAATCCCCAGTAGGGACCCTGAGCTCATGGAGAGAAGGGCTGACTACTGAGATGGACATTTGTCCAGAATACAGAGGCCCTGAGGTACTGCCAGGGGACAGCAAGGTGCTGGGCCTTGGGAATGACCCCACAGCATCCAGTGGGAGCAGAGTGTGGTCCCACAGCCCCACAGCATGTCGTACCCACCCCCCATCCCCCAGCATCACCTTTTGTGGCATCTGCTGTCAGAAGTACGTGAAGGCCAACATCTCGGAGCAGTCCGCCACCACCGTGCGCTACACCATGAAGATGCTGGCGAGCGGGGCCGAGACGATCATCTTCATGTTTCTGGGCATGTCAGCGGTGAACACCTCCTTCTGGGTGTGGAATACAGCCTTTGTGCTCCTGACGCTGGTCTTCATCTCCGTGTACCGAGCCATTGGTGAGGGCATGGGCAGCGGGCAGGGGGGATGACCGGGGAGGTGGGGGACAGGGTGGGGATGGGGGAACTGCGGGTGATGAGGGGGAATAGAGAACCATGGGAGATGGTGGGGGACAATGGGGGTGGGGCACAAGGGCCGATAATGGGGCTGGGGTGATGGGGGATGGGAGGCGATAGAGGATGATGGGGAGATGGCAGGAAGACAGCGAGGGGGGGACATAGGGACGGGCCATGGCGAGTCTGTGGGGAACCAGCAACTTGGCATTTGCCCCCCGCCCAGTGAAGGGGAGCCCCAGGTGGACCGTCAGTAGTCCTCAGTGAAGGCTCAGGCCTTATTGTGGCCTCACCCCAGTGATTCCCAGGTAGGATTCAGGTCAGGATGGAAGGTTCCCGAACCCAGGGGAGCCTGTCTGGTTTCCCACTGACTCATTCTGGATGTGGCAGAGTGACGTGGGGGCAGTGCTGTCACTAAGGAAATGGACCGTGGCACGTGCGAGGCAGGAGACCCCGCTGCCCTCACCTAGCGCATGTCACCATCCATGGTGTGTGCTGCCTTGGGGACCTTGATGGGGGCCCTGTGAGGGCAAGAGGCTCTCAGTGATCACACCCACTCTTCCCCCAGCCCCCGAGACTAAGGGCTCCGTAGGACACGTGGGGCAGGGTCACTCGCTTCCTGCTGCCCTCAGCAGTGGCCTTTGGTCCCGGAGCTGCCTGAGGCATCAAGAGGCCAGGCCTCAGCCTGCACAGCCTTAGTCCCACAGAGACCTGACCTGAGACCGTCAGAGCTGCCCAGCAGCCCGACACCTCACACTCGGGGAGTTCAGAGTGTCCCCAGACAAAGGCACGGTTCCATAGTGGAACAAGGGACAGGGGGTGAGCAGGGCCACAGGGTGGAATTGTCACCATCCCCTGTGCTAGATGCTGCTGTCGCCTGTCACTGCCTTCCGTCCTGGAAGGGAATTCCTAAATGCTACCTTTCGAGTGCAGCAGCTGCCGGGGAGGGTGATGGCGGGCGCATGGCCCTCTGTGGAAGCTGAGCGCGGGCCTGGCCCCTGCAGGTGTTGTCCTGCAGACGTGGATTCTGAACCGGTACCGCATGGTGCAGCTGGAGATCATCGACCAGGTGGTCATGTCCTACGGCGGCCTGCGCGGGGCTGTGGCTTTTGCCCTGGTGGTCCTTCTGGATGAGAAAAAGGTCAAGGAGAAGAATCTCTTTGTCAGCACCACCATCATCGTCATCTACTTCACTGTCATCTTCCAGGTAACCTCTCCGCACGGGCCCAGCCACACCTCGCTGTCCTGACGGCCCTCCACGTCCCGAGCCCGCCGGCCACAGGGCGCAGGCCGCACCGTCACCGTGCTCTCCAGAGAGCCTTTCCAGGCTCCAGGCCCTAATTGCATTTTATAATTTTAGTAACTAGGAGCTGTTTTGTAGGTTTTCATGTGGCCTCACAGGGGACGCAGCACAATTTGGCTTAAAAATATCCTTCCTTAGCTGTCACTGGTTAACAGAGCCCCAGTTCATAATTTATCACCCCACTTGGCCTTGCTTTAGGCTCTTCTGCGGAGCTGGTTTCAGGTCCCCAAGAGGTGCAGGGGCTGTTGTGGGGGATCATCTCTGCAGGGAAGGTCGCAAACCAGCCGGGTCCCTGGATAAGGGCAGACCGCTTCACCCCGTGTGGGTGTGGGATCACACACGGGGGGCCCAGCAGGCTGGAGCGGGGTGCCGTGGGGCCTGTCCCGGCTGCCAGGGTCAGTGTGCCCCCCTCTCCCAGGGCCTGACCATCAAGCCCCTGGTGCAGTGGCTGAAGGTGAAGAGGAGTGAGCACCATGAGCCCAAACTCAATGAGAAGCTGCATGGCCGGGTAAGGGGGTGGGGGAAGGGAGGAAGAGAATGGGGGCAGGGGAGAGGGCGGGGGAGGGGGAGCGGTGGGAGAAGGGGGGACATGGGGAGGAGCACAGGAAGGGTGTCAAGTGACACTGACCCTCCTGTGTGTTGTGTAAAGGCCTTTGACCACATCCTGTCGGCCATTGAGGACATATCAGGGCAAATAGGACACAATTATCTCAGAGACAAGTAAGTGGCTGGTGTGGCCCCTGACTGGATGAGAGGGGAAACTTGGGAGGTGTTTTTGCCTCAGTTGTTCACTTCCCTGCCTCCTCCTTTATTCAATGACTGATTGATAGACCTTCAGGGGAAAGAGAACGCTGCCTTTCACTTGAACCCTGATCCCCACAAGACTCTATGAAGAACACTGAACTCAAAAGAAGCCAAAATGTTCAGGTCCCCCCGCCTTCCTCCCCCCGGGACCCTCCTCCCCTTCCTCTGCTTGGAGCCCCTCCTACCCCGGTGTCCCCCTCCTCCAGGGCACTGAGCCTCTTCTGAAAGTTCCTCTTCAAGTCAGGCCTGGCCACTTCCTCTTCTGACCAAAACAACTGGTCACTGTTCTGTGTTGAGTTTAAAAAACTATTTCTGGGCAGCCTGATTCTCTCTAAGTGTGAGAGCTGAGGGGGATGGGGCAGGTTTCCTCCCCCGACCTGTGCCTCATGCAGGTACCTCGTGCCTGACACCGTAGCCAAGGATCAGGGCCCCTGCCCTCACCTGGTGCCACCCTGTCCTCAGTCCACCTTTCTGGCGGCTTACATAGTCACTTGGAAAACTCTCTGCAATATCAAATTAATTGAGAAAACAGAACTCACAATTTTATGTACATTCTTATAACAATTGTCATCAGATAAGAAAGTAGGAACAAAGTACAGAATTGTAAAATAAGCATGATTTCTTTTATTTTAAAACTTGCCTTTGGGCTGTTATAAATAGTACATAAAAATCAGTGAGAGGAAACGGGGTGTTCTGTGTCCACCCAGCTCCGGGAGACCACGTTTGGTGAGCCTGGGTAATGGGCGGGGAATGGGCTGCCCTGTCCTCCCTGGGCCTCACCCACAGCCCTCCGGGTGCTCACATTGTCTGGTTCCATCCCCCAGGTGGTCCAATTTTGACAGGAGATTCCTCAGCAAAATCCTTATGAGGAGATCGGCCCAAAAGTCACGAGATCGAATTCTGAATGTTTTCCATGAGCTCAACTTGAAGGATGCCATCAGCTACGTGGCCGAGGTACAAGACACTCCACATGTTCTGTGTGCTGGAGGTGGGGACTGACACAGGACCCAGACCTGGGACATGGGCAGCCACTGGGTTCTTCCTGCACCTAAGGCCATGGGGTCGGTGGGGAGGCAGTTGCAGGCAGCACCGTGCTATTCTTGATGGCCCACCTGCAAGTCTACATGAAGCTCATGAGTCCTCCAATATCTCAGGGAAAGGTCATGTCACAGTTCTCTCTCACTTATGGGAAACTGAGGCATAGAACCCTCCCCCACCACTCTGTAGGACATTATGATGCCAGGGGATCTGACCTCTGTGCAGGTAGGGGGTTTTGGTGGCCATAATGGCTCTCAACACACAGGCACACAGACACATGCTCATGCATGCACACATACCCACATGCATATTTGAGTGTGCACACACAGGGGGAAGCAGCAAGGATGTCTTCTCGAGTCCCATGGGTAAGGATGGAACAAACCCATGTGCAGGCTATGGTTCTAAAGTAGCCTTCTCAACATCTCATCCCTCCCGGTGAGCGGGACTCTCTTGCATTCACAGAGTCCCCCAGCTTCTCCAAGCAAATGCGTCCAACCCCAGGTCTCAGGGAAAGCTCTGCACTCCCATGCATCCAGGGTGTGGCATCAATGAGCAGGGCTCAGGGAGCACGTGGGTGCATAAGGGACAGGCTTGCTTTGTGGGCTGCGAGGTGATGCCCAGCATCTCGCTGTTTCTGACACCAGCTGCCAAGGGGCAGCTTCCAGACACTTACAGTCAGGACCAGGATGTGTCAGATGGGACACAGTTGTGGTGGGTCTCAGGTCTAATTCTCCCCCTTCCTGGGATATCCTGCCCAGCTGGCCTTTCCCCCGGTGGCCACACACCTCCTGGCAGTGCTTGCTGGCCTTCCAGTGCACACATGCGATCACTGCACGGCCATTACATTGATCACCAGGCCACCTCTGCCATATGCATATCTCCACGCATGCCCCAAGTCCCAAGGTCGCCTGGTGCCCTGCACATGCCTAGCTCTAGGCAGGTCCCAAGCTTGCTTCTTATTAGCCCCCAGTGTGTGACCTGTGACAGTGGCTTCCAGGCTGCCCCACATGGCCGTGCTGGGCACCGCTGCCCACAGAGACACCCAATATTCACAGCAGCAGGGTCACTTTAGACCCCTGACCGGGCCCCCTCTGAGGGGCTATGACGAGGCAATCCCTACCTTCCCTCTGATCCCTTGGAACCTGCAGGTGCCATGCCTTCCCTCTGTCCTTTCTCGTGCCAGCTGAGGTCACACAGAGCCTGGCGAGCTGGGAATCTCAGCAAACCCAGTGGCCTCCACACAGAGGTGCAGTTAGGGGACTGTAAACATCTGTTTGTTCAGAGGGAAAATGACTGCTGCCTCCGCTGGGCTCCTCTACCCCACACATGCCAGGCATTTGAGGCCCAAGTCACTCAGAGGGACCAGGCGCTCCTGGCAGAGGAGCTGGGGGCCATGGGGAAATGAGGAGAGGGTCCCCTCAACCATCCACTGACCCAAGGCCTCGCCAGCCCTGTGCCGTGGAAACCCCAACCCACAGGCTCTAGACTGCCACCCTCCATGAGGGTGACACAGGCTCCTGGCAAGGTCCCCAGCCTCACCTCTGCCTGCTGCTCGCCACATGCAGCGCCCCAGCCCCTGACTGTGCCCATGGGCTCCTCCCCTGGTCAGGCCTGTTCAGACGACACCAGGGTGTGGCCTGTGCACCTTGCTGTCTGCTCCCAGCAGGTTGGTCCCACCCAGCCACACTTCCCAGCTCCAAGCCCCTCCCCTAAGGGGCACCCCCAGCTTATGGCCCAGCCCGCACCAACAGGAGCCAGGCTGTGAATTTTGTTCCTGTCAGGCGTTGCTCTGTATGATCTCAATCTGAAGGTTCAATTCCAGAGGGTTCCCTCCTTGGACAAATGAGGACAGCTGGTTTGGATCCCCAGTGGGGACAGGAGCCACCTTCCTAATCCCAGGGGGATCTCTCATGCTTTCCCAACTGCCCCTGCCTTGCAGTGCCCAGTGAGGTGCTGTGTCCTTTGCACACAGTTGCACCCTCATTTTCTCTTCATTACAATGGCTAACGGACCGCTTAGCCCAGGCAAGGCCTTGGCTGTTTCCTCTGAAATCTCAGCTCTGCAGGTGGAGAGGAGTCCTGGATCCAGGAACAGGGCGACGTGGTTCCAGCACTTCGGGCTTCCCTGGGCTCTGTCCGAGTGCCTGGCCTGGCCTGGCCTGGGGTGCTCCCTGTCCTTGCTTACGCAGGCTGTCCCCTTACAGGGAGAGCGCCGCGGGTCCCTGGCCTTCATTCGCTCCCCCAGCACTGACAACGTGGTCAACGTAGACTTCAGCACGCCACGCCCCTCGACCGTGGAGGCCTCTGTCTCCTACCTGCTGTACGTGCCCAAGTTCACCCAGGCTTCTCCCTGGAGGAGCCACCCCTCACCAGGGTGCCTCTCTCTGCGACCCTGGAGGCTGCTGTGGGCGGGAGGGGGTGGGTAGTCCTCACTCCTTGCGAGGACCTAATCACAGCCACACCAGGGGCCCCTCTGGGCAGACACCAGCCAACGGGCATCTTGGGGCCACTGAGCAGTGTAAAAGAGGCGAGTGGAGGCTCCCAGCCCGAACGCCTTCAGGGGTGGCACAGAGTGTGCAGAAGGGTGTGGAAACAGGTAGGTGCCAGGTGGTCCCCCTGCACAAATTCGCCATTATCACCCAAACGGTGGGTTAGTGTTGGCAGAGAGGGAGAGAGGGTGGCGCTCAGGAAAGCCAGGCAGCAGATTTGGGGCCAGAGCCACCTGCCTTAGCTGGGGCTTGTAGGCAGCGGAGGGCTGTTCTGAGCCTTGTTAGCCAGTGTCCCGTGCTGGGGAGAGGCAGCGGGCGCATGGGCTCACAGGCAGGCTCACGGCCGGGGCTTTAGAGTGGCTGTGGGAACCGCACACAGGTAAGGTCAGCCTTCAATGGGAGGCCTTCTAGGGGTCAGACCAAAATCCGCAGGGAGAGGACTCCCAGAATCAGCTTTCTAAGCAGTGGCTGGTGCCCAGGCCAGAGGGCACGGGGGCAGGAGGGCAGGCAGGAGAGCGATGGGGCTCTTGGACACTCCACGCGGTCTCGTGCAGGAGGGAAAATGTCAGTGCAGTGTGCCTAGACATGCAGTCCCTGGAGCAGAGGAGGAGGAGCATCCGTGACACAGAGGACATGATCACTCACCACACGCTGCAGCAGTACCTGTACAAGCCCCGGCAGGAGGTGAGCTTGCCAGGGAGTGGGGGTGCCTGCTCAGAGGCCTCCGGGATACCGGCCAGAGCGAGAGCCTCAGGTGGGGGCACAGGTCCTCCTCTCCTCTCCCTGGAATGAAGGGAGGAATCCTTGCCTTTAGGGAAGACGCCCCTCAGGCTGCAGGGTCAGGGTTCAGCCTACTAGCCGGTGGCCCTGGGGCTCTGCATTCCTGCGAGTCTGTCTGGCCAGCTTCGCGGGGAGCCTGCCCTGGGGCTGCACTGGAGCAGTGAGGTTGGGGTGCCTCCAGCTCTGCAGGTCACCACCGGCTGTGACTGTCCCTGTCACCGCTCCCCCTTCCCCAGTACAAACATCTCTACAGTCGACATGAGTTAACTCCAGAGGAAGACGAGAAGCAGGATAAGGAGATCTTCCACAGGACCATGAGGAAGCGCCTGGAGTCCTTCAAGTCGACCAAGCTGGGCATCAACCAGAACAAGAAGGCGGCCAAACTGTATAAGCGAGAGCGTGCCCAGAAGCGGGTGAGGGTGCTGAGCGAGGGACCGCAGGGCAAGGGGGACTGCGGGTTGGGGGTGCGGTGCGAGGGGACGCGTGGGGGGTTAAGGTCACCATGGGACCATGCTGGTCAGTGATGGAACCACCAATGCACCCCCTTCAGGGACAGGCCTGAGCAGGGAGGGGATCTGGGCTGTGGACCAGTGGGGCCTCCCAGGGACCATCTGCAGCCAGGGTCCCTGTGGTCGCTACACTTTTACCTGTAAGTGGTTTTATTCTGTTTTTCAGAGAAACAGCAGCATTCCCAATGGCAAACTGCCAATGGAGAGCCCCATACACAATTTCACCATTAAGGAAAAAGGTACCAATTGGGGCCACGCGGCAGCAATGCTTGTCAGCAGGAGTTCAGGGACATGAGCCAAGGGCGAGGCAGGGTGCAGGCGGCTGTCCTTGGAGGGAGACCCTTCGCCCAGCACCCAGGACCTTCTGCTGCAGGCTGCTGTCCTGCCTGTCAGAGTGGCAGTGATGACAACCCTCAGGGTGTGCTAGGAGCACTGGACCAGGGCCTTCTGCGTTCCCAGCCCATTTCCCTTGTGCTGCCCTTCCTTTGCCACCAGATTTGGAACTTTCAGACCCGGAGGAGACCCCCGACTATGATGCTGAGGAGATGAGCGGGGGTATCGAGTTCCTGGCGAATGTCACAAGGGATACAGCAACAGACTCCCCCTCAGGTGAGGGGCTAGGGGTGGCCTTCTGCCGACTCAGGAGTGAACAGTCATTGGACAGGAACAGTAGGACTGGGGCGGGGGGGTCCGTGGCTATGTAGCTGCCTGTGGCAGGCTGGGGGTTCTCTGCTCAGAGAGAAGGGAGCTCTCAACTATCCTGCCCATGGGTTAGGGAAAGAAAGCAGGGGGTAGAGAACCCCAAAGGCACATGACCCTGACCTTCCAGGTGACCTCCAGGTGATGGCCACAGGACGTGCTGGTGTCTGACCCCTGGGTACCACCCCCCATCTTGCCATCTCGGGTACACCTGGGAAGCTGATCAGCCACTGCCCTTTCTCCTAGGAATTGACAACCCTGTGTTCTCCCCGGATGAGGACTCGAGCATCCTGTCCAGGGTGCCGCCCTGGCAGTCTCCTGGGGAGACAGTGGTGCCCTCCCAGAGGGCCCGTGTGCAGATCCCCCAATCTCCGGGCAATTTCCATCGCCTGGCTCCCTTCCGCCTCAGCAGCAAGTCCGTGGACTCCTTCCTGATGGCCGAGGGTCCCAAGGAGCAGCCCCACACCACTCTGCCCGAGTCCACGCACATGTAACTGGCTCCATGCCCCTCCCGAGCCCCTAACACCTGCTCTCTCCTCAGCTCCTCTCTCCAGGCATCTATCTGCTTCTCTCTTGGCCCTGGACCTGAACCTCTGCCGACTTTCTCCAGCCGCTGCTCTTCCTCTTGCTAAGCCTGTTCCCACAAGCCTCTTGTTCTGGCTGAACATTTCTTAGGAGACTGAGTCGCTGCTTCTCCAGCTGGGATGTCAGGATCCAGAGCTGTTTGAGGATTTGACTGTTTTAGCTTATTGGTTAGAATTTTCTCTTAGATTGTCAGTTTGATTACTAGCTGCTCTGAGATAAGTTTTTAACCCGTGCAGTAAGCCCATGAATCTAAGCTGTGAGCTCAGAGATGCCTAGGCATGGCTGGGCTGGGGTCCTATGCGGACAGGGAACATCTGTTTTTCTCCCTGAAGGCCCTGGGAAAAGACCACATGACAGAAGTGAGTCCAGAAGAGAAGTTGCTGTTTCCTTTTACCCTCATCCAGAGAGGAGTGCAGCCAGTGTGCCTGCGCCCTTGCTGCAGGCCCTGTGGCGGGAGGGCCCTCCTAGATCAGGAGAGGAAGGAAGATGGCAAGAGAGGGTGGTGGATAAAAGAACAGGCCCCCTTTCAGTTGGTGCTGCAGTGGTGATATTCCTGGGTCCCAGAAGGTGCTGTCCCCACTTAGCCTTCTGCAGGGAAGGGGGTTCAGCCCCCTTGGGCAGGGTCTTGGGCGTGTCACATTTACCTTGAGCGCTGGTGGGAACATGGGAGGAAACGGAAAACAAGACTTCCCCCAGCGCAGGTTGGGCAGATTTGCTCATGGGGGTTTCGCCTGTTTTTCTCTTCTGTGGACGCTTGGAAAGGGGTGATTATCAGTCCAGCTGGGGGGACTCAGTCGTGCTGTCCCAGGGTGGCGAAGTGGTTTCTTGGCCTTTCTCCAGGATGTTTCTGGGACTAGAAGTGACCGGTCCACAGTGAAGAGTCTCGCACAGCCCCACTTCAGGTCCTGGCAGAGAGCTTGTGGGCAGGACCCCGCGGTGCTTCTATGCCCCTGTCTCCTCCTGGCTTCCTTCCTCTGGGGTCTTCTTGAACACCCTGGATCTCATTGCTGGGCTCTGTACGGTGGCAAGCAGAAGGGGGCACCTGTGGAGGGTCTGCAGAGTCAGGGTCTTACCTGGCCCTGTCACTGGGGATCCCGGTGGTCACACAGCCAGGGTGTGGCCTGCAAGTGTCCCAGAACACTGCGTGTGGTGGGGGTGGACCCCGGGCTGGGTCTATGAGGGTTCTCTTGTGCCCTCGGTGCCCAGCAATCACGCTGGTTTCTCCCGCAGGTGACACGGGCTCTGACACGCCGCTGACGGGACGCACGTCCCCACGCGAGGTACCGCCCGCCGCTGAGAAGCCTCCGCGCCTTCTCGCCCCACCCCCGCCCAACCCGGCCCCGGCCAGCGCGCCTCCGGCCCAGCCCACTGCCCAAAACCCGGCACCTGCCGGACAGCCCGACCTCGAACTGGGGGCGGGGCTTATGTCGGAGGCGGGGCCTACCCCGGGGGCGGGGCTGGAGCGCAGGGGGCTGCCGAGCGCGCATGCGAGGTCGGCGGCGGCGCGCCGGGTGCAAAGCCGGCGCTCGTTCCAGCGGCCCCGCGCACGCCGCCGTCCGGCACTACTCAAGCTCGCGTCGCTGCAGCCGTCGTGCCACGCGCCGCCGCACGCACTGGAGCAGGAGGAGACGCCCCTGTGACGGACGCAACCTCCCGGGTGTCCCCTCCGTGGCCTTGACCCGGGGGTGTTCTCCTAGCCTTGCCTACCTGGGGTCTTCCCGCCGAGGCCTGGGGTAGCCTTGGGCGCCACCACTCACCCTCATCCAGAGCCTCGGTGTGGGCTCAGCAGGAGAAGAACCAAATGTCTGCAAGGCCTGAACCTCGAAATTCCTTGGCGCCACCTGCAGAATGCAGAGGAGCCCCTGTGGGGCAGGAAGTGGATAGAGGCCAAGCCTCCCGCTTCTGGGAGATCTGGGCAGGTGCCCTTTAAAGGAGACTGCCTCGTGGGTCCTTCTGTACACCTGTCCTGGCTTTGAACTGAGTGGGCACTTAGTACTGTTTTCGCTGTCATCCCTGACTCAGGGACTGGAAGTGCCCTGGGACTCGAGTCCAGGCTCCATGTTTGAGTTCTTTTCACTTTTAATGTCCCTTCTCTCTCTCATCAGTACTGTCAGGGAAACTGATACCCAAGCAAAATATTTGCCCACCATGATACCAACCTGATTCCAGGCCTGGCTGGCCTCTCTCAGGGCCCCAGAAGGTCAGAAGCCCTGACTCCAGCACCAATTCACAGGGCGAGGGGTTGGTGATACCATGTCCACTAATCAGTCCTGTGAACCACCTGCAACCTCATGGACTGGGTACAATTGCTGAAACATTTGTTTGTTCATCCTTTTTGTGTTGAGTCTTCTAGAGCCCAGCACTTGTCCTGCCTGGTCTCAGTGCGGCAGCCTCTGGGTACTGTGCTCAAATATCTGCTCTTTGTCCTGAGCTGCCCCACCTGAAACTGGCAGATGGCCCAGGCTGGGTTAGAGGTTGCACTGGCTGCATGGGAGTCCCCACACAGCTCCTCCTAAGTCAAGCGGGGCCTTCATTTAGCAAACAACTATTGTTTAGAAATACAGCCAGTCCTTAAGTGGACCTGGGCCCTCCTAACCACAGCTGGGGGAAGCTGGTAGAAGTTCTGTCCTTGGGAGCTGCTTTTTTTATGGAGAACTAAGGGGACTTGGAGAGAGGTTCAGACCCTTGCAGGACCCCTAGCCCTGTACTGAGGACAATGTCGCACAGACCACCCATCACCTCCTCCAGGGTTTCAGACATGTGGCCTTAGAGTTCCACCAGGCCTCTAAAAGGAGACCATTGTCTAACTGTCCTGCAGGGAGCAGTCAGCCAGGGAAGGGGCTGCCGAGTTGGTCCTCATCTGCCCACCCATTCCTCAGAGGTAAGGTTTTGTATGAAGACGAGGTAATGAAGGATTAAAGGGACAGTGGACTTCAGGGCACTCCTAGAGGCTTTTCTAAAGAAGCCACTCTCTGCTCTGCTCTGCTCAGGAAAGACTTCATGCTGTATTCAAGTTCTCAGCCACCACGGGTGAGGATTACTAGCAGTTTGTAGTGTTTTCATGGTGCACATTGAGTCCCTGATGGAAAAGTCTCTGCAATTTGCCGTTCATAGCTTTGCTGTTGAGAAAAACAAGTGACAACAAAAGGAACATTCAGTGTGGTGTCTGTTCACCAACACAGAGGAGGCTTTTTATCTGGAGGGGAGCAGAGCTGCCCATTATTTGAATAATTAGCTCAGTCGTCACAGATAAAGGAGTGACAGTTGGTTTTCAGTAGCTGTTCCCCACACTTTGCAACCATATTAATCAACTCTGAGAGCAAGAGACCCAGCAATAATCTGCACAACAAAACCTGTCCATTTAGTGCCCTCAGGCCAGCCAGCACTGAGCCAGAGCCACCAACAGCAACTTTAGGAAGGCAACGCTCTCTCCACTCCCTGCAGGAGTGGTTCATCCAGAGCAGGCTGGGTCCAGGAGCAGATGGTCATCTGGGGTCCACAGCCCAGCCAGTCTGGCACCTCCAGCTGCCTTAACAACTCCCCTGGACCACTGGATCCAAATCCATTTTCCGGCTGCAAGGCCAGAGGCTGAGTCGCATAAAACGGCTCAGGCAGTTCCTGGACACCCTCCTCGCCCCACTCAACACTCAACTTCTCAGGGGTGAACCCATTTGACAAATATCTCCGGGACAAACCCTTCAGCCCTGTGCTTCTATGGTGGGTGGGCAGATCTTCTGTTTGTTGAACTGCACAGTCTAAGCACAGCCATAATGGAACTGAAGTTCCAGACATGAAACCTCACAGAACCCCACACCCCACATTTCAGTGATCACAAGACAACTCCATCTGTCGACCCAGTGTTATAAACCCTAGTACTGTGGATACATTTCATAAATGAGAATCCTAGCTCTTCTTGTCACTGTAAAACAGAATGTAAACACTGTCTTATGAATGTATTTCCTTAGGAAAACTGTTGTAAAAATTTTTATTAGGAAAGAATTCCTATTTATTTAATACTGAACTTTGGCCTACTTTGTGGTAGACTATAAAGCACACAAAATTAGGAGTCACTGTTTCTCACTTCTCTAACTTCTTGAAAATAATTTTGTCACGGTGCTCCTGTACTGTGTACTATTGATCTATTGTGAAAGATTTTTAAAGCAAGAATGTCACTGAAATTGGAATGGAAGTATATTATAAATTATGAGTGATGAAATTGTGAATTTAATTTTGTGAAAATGATCTTAGTTAAACTTTGTGTAGCCCTAATCACAATCGATGTGCCTTAAAGGGCCCCCCGATGTGCTGTTGGCAGTGTCCAGGCAGGGGGCCCATTACAGACCCTGCCACAACTGCCTGATCAAATCTATTAAAAAAATTCAAGGCATTTCGTGGTGCACACTTTATCAATGAGAAATCGTATCAAGGAGAATGTAAGCAGCAGTCTCCTGAAGGCAGACATTCCTCTGGCTCTGGAATTAACATGGACATGTGTGTATACATAACTGTATGCGTGGGGGGGGGGGGCGGGAAGCAGGGGTCCTTCTGGATGGTAGGAGGTTGCTGGCCACACAGCGGTGGGCACAGGCCGAGCCCTGGAAACTGGTTCCTCCTCAGCCGAGGCAGGTGGACACTGCCACTCACTTGCTCGTCAGTAAACAGAGAGGGACAGGCCCAAGAAGGATGGGAGCCAACATTGACCCAGACTAAGTGGGAGGATGAAGCAACTGAAACATCAAGGCGGGGTGAGCCTGGGGCTGAAACAAGAGCTGGACGGGACAACGGGGTCCACAGCCTAATGAACAAGGAGCACCTCTGCAGAGTCAAGATAAGACTAGTTGGAAAGGCACAGATGTGGGTGGGCCCGAGAGATGGAGCCCTGTGCTGTCCCGTAAATGTCCCAGTGGATACCACCTCCCAGGTGAGTCCCACCTCTCAGGAGAATCCCATCCCTCAGGTTTGCCCCATCCCCCAAGTGGACCCACACAGAGCAGCACAGGCAATCACCTCTAGCAGGTCATCCTTGAGGTCTTGGTGTCAGAGAGACACACCTTTTAATAGTTAAAAATTTTGAATGTCTATTATAAAAAGAAAATAGTGGATCAAAGTCAAGTCCATAGATACCATTTCAGTTGATAGGAAGGAGCTTCCTGAGGCTGTCATAGGAATCACCACAAACTGGTGGCTTAAAAACAATTTTATGGCCAAAAGTCAGAAATCAGGGTGTGGACAGAGCCCCACTCTCTCTGCACCCTGTAGGGTCCTCCTGGCTCTGCAATCTTTGCCATTCCTAGGCTTGTAGAGGCATCACCCTAACCCTGTCTTCACCTGGTGTCACCTCTTAAGGACACTAATATCAGATTAGGGCCCTCACCTCCTCTCTCCCAGAGAGAGGCATTTTCTGCCTCTCCTTGCTCTGCATCCCATGTCTGTGTCCAGGTGGCACCTGGTGTTTGGTCCCGTCCTGGCTAAGGCAATGCCCTACACAGGAAGGCGAGGCAGAGCAGCCCTGGTGTTGCCCACCAGGCATGACTGGTTTCCTCTGGATAGAAAGCCCCATGCTCTGAGGACCTGTGTCTTGGGGTGTCCTCATTACAGCAGCCCGGATGGCGTGTTAGCAGGTATGAAGGGACAGCACACCAGGTGAGGCTGACTGGCGAGCGCTACATGCACTCTCAGCAATTAAACAGTCAGGGGTGCCCCCCCCCGCACCACCCCCCTGCCGAAACCCACTGAATATGTCAAGGAAATGTCCTAACGATGCCTTTCTCCTGAACTGCAAGTGTTTTTTACAGAGAATGACCCTGAGGCTCAGTGGGTAGACAGTGGGCCCAATGAGACAGGATGAAGCTGGCTCCTGGTACAGGCTGCCTGTCCTGTTAAACCCAGGGCACTGTAGCTGGGCACTGCTGGCCTTTCCCAGGTAGCCCGGACGTGGCCCTTCCCTGGGCGTTGGTGTTGAATACTCACCCACTGCCCACCCACCGCAACGTGACCTACACCGTGGGCCTCCCAGCACATCCTAGCCAACATCCTGTCCCCATGTGTGCGCCACTGTTCAGCCTGTGCTGACGCTGGCATCCAGCTTGGGCAGCCGATATTTAACTGTTACTGCAGTGTCCCCAAAGTGGGCATAGCCAGTGACCATCATATAATCAGAACTTGACACCAGCCAGAACACGTGCCACTTGGGTCTGTTACTCTCTAAATGGTTACCCTGGACATGTATTCCAGAAGTACCTTGGAGTGAACATAAATATATTTTTATTATAATAAGGAGCAATCATTAATGATTATTAATAATTTAAAAATATTTATTGAGCACTGCTAAATGCTGTTTAAGGCATGTCGTAAGCAGGGAACTAAATTAACATGTACATCAAGAAACCGCACATTAGTTAGATGTCTTTGGGAATATTACATCTCTTCTGAGCCAGAAATACTCATAAGAACTGAATTTTTAGTTACTTAATTCCACTTCAGTTTTGATTCTTTCGGGAAAAAATCCTACTTGTGAATTTTTCAGATCTAGTGAGGATAAGAGTGCTGTATCAATTTTGCCATCTGTAACATGTCTTAGAGGAAACAAGCCTGTTCAGACGCACCTGGATGTTTACAGTAGCCCACCACCATGCACATGAGCTGTCTGGAAGGGAAACTGCAGCATAGGCGTCTCCCCCAGGGACGACCCTCCTGCCTGAACTGGCCAGTCCCCGGGACCCTGAATCAAGGATGGAGGGGACCTGTGACAGGGGAACAGGGGCAAACATCTCTGCTTCCCATTTTAGTCAGCGGTGTGACACTAAAGCAGAGCACTGCCCTCTACGCAATCCCGCTCACTGGGCTGGCAGCGTGAGGCTGGGGAGGCAGAGGCAGGGGACCGTTTATCCTGGAAGGAACTTTCCCTGAGCCTAGTACGAATATTAACATGTAAAACTAAGCTACTGCTGATGGCAGCCATGGAGACAGCTGAATGACAGATAGAGGGTCTCAGGGACTCTGTGTCAGGAATAAGCAGGGCCCATAAATCTGAAATGCCCAGGGCTACTGCCTAGTCAGATGGGGAGTAGTGGGCCAAAGGGACGCCAGTGGGGCACCCCTGCCCTCCAGGTGGGTGAGGGTAGAGGTGGCCTTCAGATGCTGCATCTGGGCCCCTTGCAGTCACCACTAGTAAGAAAACCTCAAAGCTGAGAAACTCATTTCCCCACAGCGGTTACTTTTATTGAATAGTGGCATCAGAAGCGCTGACACTACAGGAGGGAGTGAGACCTAGAGGTGAATAAGAACAGTCAGCCAGGACCCTGCTCACAAAACTTGTCCACAATAAGATGAGAGGGCCAGAACCCGCCACCAGAGCACCTGTCCCTCAGGAAGCCTTGCACTTGGCACCATGAGTCACTGGCTGTCACACGTGGGGTGATGAGTGTGGGACCAGATTCAGGCAGGACACTGAAAGGCTACTTGAGGAGCTTGGCCACATTCAGACTGGGAACTATGATTTCCTTGAAGATGGGCACGTAGTTCGGATTCGCCTGTGCGGGGCCCTGCTCCAGTGTCTCGATGATGGTCTGCTTCATGTCCCGGCTGGCGTCCCCTCGCATGGCCAGCAGAGCGCCGATGTGGTCGTCTCTGGGAAAGGAGGGGGAATGGTGGGGTGCATGGGCGGGGGCATCCGCTGCTCACCTCAGGCCTTACTTGAGCTCCCCACCCCTACCACCTGCTGTGGCTCAGCTGACACCAGGGGTCCCCAGAACAGGTCAACAGCTGCAAGTGAAAGACACGTCTCCCTTGTCACAACAGAGGGAGAGAAGCCCAAGTTTTCCAATCATAATGTGGTCTTTTTTTCAGTCTATAGTTGCAAAGTTTTTTAAAGGTTGCTTTTCTAAATCTTTGTTTAATGGACTAACTAGAGCGGGGGATGTCCAGGAGAGCACAGGACCATTGGTTCTTCCTGCTCGAAGCAACCCCAGAGCAACAGCAGGAAGAGCAGATGCCGGGGAAGCAACCTGAGTGCGTTCGCAGAGGCTGGCAGGAGCCTGCAGCCAGCCCTGTGGACAGGCCTCTGTCCCCATGAAGGCTGGGAAGTGTCCTGGCCAAACATAGCACACAGGCTCCCTTTCCCGAATCCACCAAAAGTACAATGTAAGCTTCCTAAAACCACTCTGCTCAGACACTTTCCCACTCACATCTAGTCCCAGGCCACCCCCACCCACACTCTGACACTTGGGAGGAAATGAACCACCACAGGGCTGGCAGGAGAGCACGTGAAATGCAGGCATATCTGCTATCATTCCCAGAGGCCCTCTCTGCCTGCCACTGTTGTCTGCACAGCTCACCCTCGAAGCAGCCCAGAGCTGCCGCACTATCATCCCTCCAGGTCACACCTAAAGCCTGGGACTCCAGGAATGATTATGCTACTCTGCTCCCCGAGTTCTAGCTGAGACAGGAGGCCATTACCTGATGTCTGGGTATTTGCTGACCAGAGTCGAGACTTCCAGGTAGAGCAGGGATGGATCTGTCAGCTTAATCACTTCAGCAATGGCGATGATCGTATCACAGTACCCATCCACTTCTTCACCAAATCCCTAGAAGTGAGCGTAAAGGCCACGAGCAGCATGCAGCACCACCATGCCTCAAGCCGGACACAGGCTGGAGTCTCTCAAACCCTCTCTTCGGCCGAGTATGCCTGGCTGGCCAGCCCATTCCTTCCTCTCATGTAAACATCAAGGAAGGGTCCCACAAGGGGCTATTCCCATGGGAGCACTCAACACAGAGACAGGGTTGAGGGCCTGAGCGGGTCATGAAGCCAGCTCAACCCCTCATGACAGAAGGGATGTGTAAGCACTGTATCTCGGAGCTGAAGTCTGGCTATGTGCTGACACCAGAAGTCCAAAAGCTACTGCCCTAAGCACATGGGCCCCAACCACAGGTCAGAGAGATCTGTACGCAGATTCTCCTGTTTACAAAGGAAAACAGTCGATTCCTGACATGACTGATCCTGATCAACTGACCTAGAAGTCCTATGGGTAGAAAATGGAAAAGAAGCCACAGCGATGCCTATTTAGTGACAGTGACTCTGAAAGGGCATGAGGCGGTGGCACTTACAGACGCGAGCTTGCGGAACAGGAAGCGCAGCTGCTCGGCCTCCCGGACCATCCTTTCAGCTCCCTCCTTGCGCTCCTCAGGGCTGCGGAAGGAGATGCGCTTCTGCATGACAGCCCGCAGGTACTCCACCACCACACGTCGGTGTGCTTCAGCCGTCATCCGCTGAGGAGCAGAGACACGTCAGCTCCGCGGACATGCGGACTTCCATTTAAATCTAGGTCGACATGTGAACAGAGCACATTCCTTCCCATTTCCCGTCAATACAAACAGCAGGACTTCAGAGTAAATAAATAAGCACATTTGTGACTTTTAATTATAATTTTTACTTTAGAAAATAACGCCAGCATTCACTGTTTCCCTAAAATCCAATGATGAAAGGGAATTACATAGGCAGGGTGCAGCACAAGCAGGTGCCCAGAGAGCTGACCCTGTGACTCAGATGCTGATCGTTCCAATCCAGAGGGCAAACAGAATAAAGGTCCCCACACAAGGCCTGCCTGCAGCCTCATGCGCCATGTCCCAGCAGCAGACATCACTGCAGGACGGCTTCCCGCCAGGTGCGCCAGCACAGCATGTGCTTTTCCCAGACCCCTTCACAGGGCCGCATGCCCTCCCCTCTGGGTAACTCCAGTCAACTCCTCTAGCTGCCCCACCCTGCACGTGTCTCAGAGCACTTCACCCCCAGGGTGGAGTTGGGGGTCAGTAGGGAAACTGGGGGCCCCGGGCCAGGTCCCAGCTCCAGCCCTCACAAATGGACAGGCTCCACAGGACAGACGTGCATGAAGCCCACACATCATGCCTCATCCACAGAAGGCTGTTTATGACCAGTCTCTGAAAATGGTGACAGAGCCTCAGGGGAAAGAGGAACCCCGAGTCCATCCACATGAGGAAGGGTCAGAGACGGTCATGGTTCTCTCCACAACACATGTGGACACAACAGAGACCTCGGCTCCTGCCGAGCCCACCTCCAGTGGCACATGGCACCAGGCGGTCATCCTGCAACTATGTAAACAAAACTGCACTGATGTGTTGAGTGGCATCACAGCCCCAGACCAAACAGAAGCTGTGTCTACTCGGGGAGGCTGGATGTTCTACTCCCTGTGCCAAAGGGAGGGGGACCCCAAACAAGACAAGCAAGAGAGCACCCAGCACCTGCGTGGGGTTGTGGCCAAGACCAAGGTCAAAGGACTGCATGCCGGTCCAACAGCCCAGGCTCTCAGGAGAGCAGACATTCTCATGTTAGGCATGAGCACCAGTCACACCGGGAGACAAGCCACCAAGCCTGGGAGTCCACAGAGACAACAAGCTCCCGGCCCAAGGACTCCACACGTAGACCCCAGACATCAACAGTTAAATCAACATACAAAATGTTTAAAGAAATAAAAAGTGGAACTAAAAACTGCGCAAGCAACAAGAAATTCAAAACTGACCAGAGCTGGCTGGTCCCACCAAACCTCTAAGCACCAGAGGCTCCTGACAGCTGTGAAGGGAACCATCAGTCAGGTGGACTTGAAACATCTGGGTCTCCCTGCAAGTACTACTTTTAATGGCAATTGGAAGAATTTCCTTTAAAATTTTGATTTAGATACAGGTGTCCACTGGGCTGGGTGTCCAGTACAACAAGACATGGAAAAGACATCAAAGCCATAAGGTCCAGAAATGACAACACACAATGTCACTATTCATAGATAAAATAACTATCTGCATAGAAACCTGAAAAGGTGTGGAGACAAATCCTAGGAACAATTAGTTTTACAAAGTGTCTGGATATGAGGTCAACATATCAATACCACTTCATTTCTAGTTAAAAAAGTTAGAAAGCCTGATTTTACAAATTAAACTTAAGAAAATTGTATTTATTTTCAGAGAAAGGGGAAAGGAGGGAGAGAGGGAGAGAAACATAGATATGCAAGAGAAACATTGATCAGTTGCCTCTTGTATGCCCCCAACTGGGGACCTGGCCTGTAACCCAGGCACGTGCCCTGACCAGGAATTGAACCGGCAACCTCTCACTCCACAGGAAGATGCCCAATGCACTGAGCCATCCTAGTCATGGCCAAATTAAATGTTTAATAACAACAACAGCAAAAACTACACGAGGCTGGGTGCATATGAAAAATATGCTCAAGCCCTAGATGAGGACACGGTGGCGTTTTTTGGTTAAAACTTGGAAAAGTCTAGACAGTGAGTAACAGAGGAGCTCCCTGTTCTCATGTGGCCTCTGTGGAATGGAAAAAGTCCAGTAGCCAATGTGTCTTGATGGGTAATCTGGACAGGGGACTGCCCTTTCTCCCTGTCCTCTCAACAAAGCCATGACCACCGCCACTGCTACCCACAGGGGTTCAGATCTGCAGCCGTCTGTCAGTGTGGGTTTAGTGGGGTGTCAGGAGGCAGTAAAGCCAGGTGAGTGATCTTAGTCTTCACCCAGAGGCCCCATTACCTCCAGCCCTATCTTATCTTTACACACTGATGTCTTCTGACTTGGGTTAATAAAACCACCTGCGAACTTCCTCTTACAGCACTACTTTGACACCGAATTCTACACAAGATGCCATGTGGGCTCCAGCATGCAGGTGAGCTCACACTAGTGACTGTGCCCCACACTCTTACCTTTTTATATGGCTTTTTAATTTTGGCAAAATCATTGAAATAGTCTTCCACGGTGACACAGATGATGTCTACAGCATTCGATCCCAAAAGCCACTTTCTTGTCATCAGCTCATTGAGATGTGTCTAAAAAGCACAGACCACAGAAAACATCACCTTGACACTGGGATCCTGGCATCAGGAGGAGGTGCTGCCCAACTGCCTGATGTGCTGATGTGAGTGACTGCACCTGGAAACCACAAGCACTACTGGTATGTGACTGCAAGTGTTTACTTTAACCACACGGGATTCCAACCATACACACCTTTGAGGTATGCAGGTATCTGTGTGTACACATTTCACCTTTAATGACTACTTATACAGGGTTGGGCAAAAGTAGGTGTACAGTTGTGAGTATGTGAAATAGTTTATTCTTATATCATTATTTTTTTTAATACAAACTACTTTTGCCCCAACCTGAATTTATTATTCAAATATTCTGTAATTTACCCACCCAATTCTGATGGACATTTAAAATTTTTCACATTTAGCAATTAGAAACAATGCTGCAGTGAATTTGTGCTCTTCTGCAAGCGAAGCTCCTATAAGTGGAGCTGCTCAAAAAGTATGCAAACTAAAACCTCAATTACCTGTTTCAAAACTGTCCTCCAGAAACTGCACAATTTACACTCTGCACAGAACACAAGACTGTCCCTTTGCTCCTGCCTTTGACAACACCGAGTGGCATCAATGTCTGCAATCCTTGCCATCTTGATAAGTAACAAATAATATTTTTTAAATTTGTATTTCTTTACCATCTAGATTCTGCTAATGAATGTAACAGTCTTCCTGTGATGTGATTCTAGCTTGTAATCACTGGTGTTTATTGGGAGCCTCTATTCAGTTGCGCTGCAGAACGACCAAAACTTAGACCTATACCACACAAAGCACACCACGTCACAGAAAATCCACGGCGCTTTAACTATGACTGAGGATGAAGGCAGGTGCACACTCAGCCCGAGTGCAGTCAGAGTGCCCAACCTCCAGGTCCAAGAAGACCTCCTCCAGCAGGCTGCTGCAGCCCTCCTTCGCGATGGCGTCCAGAATCCCATCCATACTCGGCTGGCTCAGAGACATGCCTTCTTCCACTTCATTTTTTAAATATTTCTTCTTTAAACTGACTATGGATTCTCTGCAAAGGAATGGTCGAGGCTCAGTGAGGCAGCTGAGTGCCTTCACATGCCTGTCTTTGTTCCTAACAGTCACTTACTTGAAGGTCTGGCAGTTGTTGATGATGGCGATCATATACTGCACGTAGCAGTGAGGGTGCTGCCGGTTTCTCAGGTGCTCCTCTTTATACAGCTGAGCTTCGTCTTTGTATCTGAGGACACACAACCCACATCAAACACGAGCAGAGGACAGCCTGCAGGTGTTTCCAACACCACGCTGACATCACTCCTAATAGATGGTTCACATTGCTAACGCTTGACCAGATGGAGTCTTTAACAACAACAAAAAAAATTTGGATGCTTTGTGCTAATAGAAGAACAGAAAAGTTGATCATTTTAAATGAATTATTAAAAATTAATTTCAAATCAACTCTCTGGAATAGGACTTAGTATTCTGATTATACAAATATTCTGAAATATTTTATTGTGAGTCACTGGGAAAGTATTATTTTATCTCACATAACTTACCTAGAAATTTATACAAAAGGAACATTATCAAGTATTAGATAAAATGTCTCTTTCTGAAACTCTCTGAAGGGACATCAAATTAAAAATAAATTAGACTCTTTAGATGCCATGAAAACAAACAACTGAGAGGGCTACATGTTTTATTTTTTAACTAATTATGGAAATCCTCAAACATTTACAGGAATAGAACACAATGAGCTATAGATCTTAAAAAAGAACCAAAATGAAAATTGGCAATTAAAGGGGAGTTACTCAGTATTTATCCTTTCTTTCTGTCCAAAGTGTGGTTCAAGTAATCAAATGGCTGAGGTAGATGAGGACAACTTCCTCTTTACAGAAGAATCCCACCTCATTCCTCTAATGAAATGACTAACTCAGGCCATGTCCCCTCCGATGGATGGCCAACGGGAAGTCTGAGGGGCTTGACTGCTGGTACCAAGCCACCAAAGTAGGACGGAGGGACATGCATCTCCTGATGTGCTGCCATGTGGAGCGCACACACACCACTTATGCAGGGTTCTTATAGAACAATACATAAATCAGGTGAATCCCACAAGCCGTTAGAGACAACTTGCGGTCGTGGGCAGACGGCAATCTGAGACCTGGGCTGGAGGATGCTGGTCACTCTACAGGACAGGACAACGTGCGCTCTCCACAAGCCAATGGCTTATAAAGGGGAAGGGACTGTTCTCCTGTATGGCAGACCTGAGAACCCAAAAAACCACAGTGATGTAGAATACGTAACCTTACAGACATATGTATGCGACCACTGGGAAAACCCAAGCACAAACTTGGTGTCAGATGGCCCCATGGAGTGACTGTGCAAGCTTTATGAGGGTTGTCAGCACTGTAGTTAGGGTAGGGAATGCAGGGGAAATGCCACAGTATCTGGGATTTTCTTTAAAGTTACTTCAGCAGAGAAGGAGCATGTGGGAGAGAAGGAAGGAGGGAAAGGGACAGAAAGAGGCAAGGGGTGGCTTGAAAGGGACAGTTTTTGAACCTGGATAATGGGCAAACAGTTTGTTATGTCATTCTACTTTTGCACAGCTTTGAAAATCTTCATGAACAATTCCAGGGGAGGGAGGTGTCCTGGAGATACAGTCCCTCTGAGCCCCCTGTCCCGGGCTGGCTCTGCTGGGGGTGCCTCCCAGAGGCAGGAATTCAGAGTGACCCCTGCTCCTGGAGCCGTCCGCCCCGCCCCAGAAATTCAGACGGCAGGAAGGGCGAGTGTCTCGGGATCCGCTCTGACTCCAATCCCGCAGTGTGCTGACAACACGACTGGGGCTGCCACGGATCACATCTGGGTTCTCAGGGGACTGGGGCATAGGAGGTAACAGGAAAAGGCCGCCTTTCTAAATAACAAAGGAAGGTGACTACAGTCAACCGAGGCTTCAATTCTTTTTTTAATATAAGGCATATCAGGACCAACAAATTTTTGTTTCTAATTTTTAAAAAACACGTACTTTCTAAATTAGTACAGTAGCAAAAATACATACCTACTTAAGAAAGAATTCATTTGCTGAAGACACAAACCTAGTACCTTTGTTTTCAAATCTTCACTTATCTGAGCAGCAACTTGAAGATTCTGTTCGAACATCTGAAAATTGGAGAACTTATGAATTCTAACATAAACTCACAAGAGCACAGGTTTCCCATTCCATAAAACCCCACCTGCTAACTGGTAGTTAGGGCAGTCCAAATTCAGGGGAAAAAAATGAAACCATGTGAAAAATAAAGTTAGTTAAACAAACAACTTTCTCACCGGGTAAAAAAAACCCAAGTGAGTCATTTACTAATTACCTGCAATGGGCAGGTCTCCTTGAAGGGGAAGCCGACGGGCAGACAGGGGCCCAGGGAGGTGACAAGGGTGCCGTACTGCGGTTAGTGATGGGGATTTCTTAAGAAGAATTAGGATATATGCTGGAGCTGAGGGAAACTGAACGTGAAAAGACAGAAGAGCCAGCAGGCTGAGCTCATCCCATGTCCTTGTTGCAAATGTGCTGTCATGATATCAGACTTTCCAAAATAAAGACAGGGAGAGGACCAATCTGTGGCTAACTTATAGTACCACCTGGAGAAAAACACCGCCAACACCCACTTCTGTAGGCTAGAGTCCCAGCACTCTCAGCAGACAGAGTACCATATGAACATTCCAACGGGGCTCAGCCCTCCTACTATCAGCCACCCAACTGAAAAAAACTGCACAGCCCAGAGAAAAAGGGAAGGACACTGGGGGACACCAGCAGGCGGCCACACACTGAAAAGTAAATTATCTGTAGGAATGCATGATTATCGTTAAAATCTAAAGGACTCTTCCCCAAATCCATCAGGTTAGACTCAATTCTGTGGCATTTACAAAGGCATTTACATTATCAGGAAACTCCAAACAAGCAACTCAAATCCAAGCGTTACACACAGAATAACAAAGAATTCCGTTCTAGTTCAAGTCCAAAAGGATTAGGAAAACTAAAGTGACCCTGGGCAGATCTACTTGGCAGGTAAACCCTCAGTTTCTTCAGTTCCAGAGAGAGAAGGACATGAGGCACGAGGCAGGGTTCTATCTATCTTTACTATGTAATGAGGCACTTTGTGTTCATTTATAAAACCCACAGACCCTAGTAATTACCCAGAAATGAACCCCAGAATCCACAGACGGTACCTGGAAGACAATGGCTGGGAGTGTCGTCTGGTAGTAGCCATCTTGGTCAGCTTCAGGCTCAGTCTCTTTTATCCAGTCTTTCTTGTCTGTTTCTAGAGCTTTCCGCAGCCAGGCAATGATGTTCGACTAAGGAAATTTGGCATCAGAGGAAGAGAGAAAAGAACATGCCCTCTGAGCCAAGGATACACTGGTGCAGCTGCAGAAACCAAACAAAGCAACCTAGGAATTCCTGTTCCCCAACAAGAGAACGCCAGAAAAGCCACCCCGAGAGCCAACTCCACAGTGGCAGTGCCCCCACCAGCCCCCACTGGCTTTGGGTCAGGTTCGTCACAAGTGCACAGGAGATCGAGACAGGCCTGTTCGTGGAAGACTGGACAACAGCACCATCCCCTCATGTGCACAGGGCCACCTCCCTGTTTCCAAGACGTGGGCCTCCGCATGTCAGAACACTGTCTGGTGGACAGGCAGGAAGCAGACCCTGCCCTCCTCATCCTATTCTGAGACTGTCTGGGGGTCACTAAGCAGCATTTGGTGCCCCCCTGGCACCCTCTCATTCCCAGGCATGATGCTCAGCAGCCCTTGCACCACCACACAACAGCAGGGCATCCCCGGGTGTTGCCAGCCTGCTGCAGACACGACAGCTTCCAACCAGAGACGGCTTCCATACCTACAGAATGTATATCCCAGACAATCTCCAGATTGGGCCACTCTCCTCATCTAACTTGCAAATGTACATTTCAAGACCCAATTTCCCATAAATAGAGCCTGTGCCTCCTTAGGAGGCCAATGTCAAGGCAGGGTCTTACCCCCTTCTTTTGCCCACTGGCACTGGTTCCAGGTTGACATGCACAGACTCGATGCAGCATCCAGGCACTAGACATAGATTGTTTTGGGACCACACGCCGCTCTACTCACAGTAAGAGTTGACATGTACGTGTCCAACAGCTCAGAGACCACAGCTGGAGAAAGCAAAGGCTCCAGGGTACTAACATCCACTTCCGGGGCCAGCTCCACATTTCCCATCATCTCTGTGCTACAGGAAAAGCCAGCAATGAGAAAGATTAAGAACCAGGAAAACCGACAGAAAATTCTCAGTTAAACACTGCTACTTCTTTCCACACACAAATACCCAATAACCCTAATGGCAGTCAGGAGGGGAGACGGGGCCTCGGGAAGAGCACTGGCCAAGGAGCCCCTGTGCCCACGTCACGAGGTACTGGAGGCGCACTTAGGAAAGAAGCCCTGTGAGGAAGAGATCTATTTGTTGCATCCACAGTGCCTCCCATGGAGACCAGGAGCAAATAGGAGGTGCTGAACAGACATGCTTCTGAAATAGAAGAATAACTTCTAGTGCAGAGAACATGTGACATCCATAATGAAACTCAAGTCAGCAAGGTAAATGTCACTGTATCCAGTCTACCATGCTTAAGAAGGCAGGGATATGGACTGAGTTGCAGAAAAAAAAAGTTTTCCTATAAAACAGTTAACACCTGTGTATGTGGTTGGGTCCTTCAAAGTCCAAGGTTCAACTGTCAGAAAATTCATATGCCTTATACTACCATCCCTAAATGTGTGTGTGTGTCTGCGTTTGTTTCTTTATTTTTATTCCTCATCTGAGGACACTTTTTCATTGTTTTTGTTCTGTTCTGTTTTGTTTTGTTTTGTCTTAGAGAGACAGAGAAACACTGATGTGAGAGAGAAACATCAAGTGGTTGCTTTCTCATACACGCCCCAACAGGGGATTGAGCCACAACCTGGGTATGTGCCCTGACCAGGAATCGAACCTGCAACCTTTCGTTTTATAGGATCATGCTCCAACCAATTCAGCCACATTGGCCAGAGCCCTAAATGTGTATTTAAATGACACTAGTCCACCCTCTATAAGAAATCTCAGGTCTTCCTGAATAAAATGGCACTTCATAATATTATGCCAATGTCAAAAGACTATTTACTTAACCCAGATGATTCCCCAAGAACCTTAATTCAGCAAGAAAATGTTTGTAGTATGAAAGCAGTTCAATTCTTCCCATGATAAAGTCCAATATGATGGAACAGGATAACAATAGGAAGCTGCCCAAGACAGAAAAGCTCTTACAATCTAGTGACTGAAAAACCAAATTAACACACAAAACTGGGCATGTCATACAAACGCACCCCCCATGGTCAGGTGGCTGGAGCACAGGCGAGGGCCCAGGGTCCAGATTTGAACCCTGTTCCCCACTTAAATCACTGGCTGTGTAAACTGGGCTCATTACTCCCTGTGCCTCAGTTCTCTCACATACCAAAGGAAGATGATCACCACAGTGCCTTCCTCATAGGGGACCCGTACAGGCCAAGGCTGCAGAGACGACAGCGGGATGAGGCGCATGGCAGCCTTGGACTCCTGGGCTCTGTGAGGGCAGCACACAGGAGGTAACAAAAGCTGCAGCCACAGGATCACCATTAAAAAGGTAAGGCATCTCCTTTCTCATTACATTTATCTGTGCTGAATGTTGTACACATTCTCTACCATAAGCTGTTACCAAAAACAAAACAAAACAAAACAAGTCCCAAAAACTTATTGCTAAAACAAGATTTAATTAATTTCTACACACTAGTGATAAGACTTTAAAAAAAAATTCCAATATAGTACTTAATACTGTTTCCTACTCACAAAACCATGTGCTTTCCTCTCAGCTAGCTCATGTTAAAGAAGTTCACCATACCTGACCGCTGTCTCATCTTGCGCCCTTTCCTGAAGTGATGAAGCCCGAAGGCTGAAATGCAAAAAGGATAACTGAGGCATGCTGGTGAGAAAAAAGAAAGCACACCTGCGGAAGGAGTGAGGGTGTCTCCTCACCAACCACAGTTACTCTAAAGGACCTCCTGGGCCCAAGTGTCCTCACCTGCCCACTGAAACCTCCTGCTCAGTGTCACCTCAACGAGAAAGTGGGTTAGTGCATAGTGAGCACTTAGTACCACAGGAAAGTCCAGCCTGAACTGCTCAATATAGACTGGATGTCAAAGGCAGAGGCACCACACAAATACGAGAGCATTCACGCAACCAGAGGCTGGGCCCTGACTTCAAGGACAAGCCCCCACAGAAAGAAGATTTTCATCAACCAGAAAATAATACCTGTGGGTGCGAAGCACCTGACTGGAGCAAAACAGTAGCTGTTTAGAGAAGGCCAGTATGTTTTTGTTACAGTTTCTACTTGAAAGAAAACAGGAGATGCAAAGTTAGCATTACCTTGTATAGGTGTTTAAGACCCAAGTCAACAGGCTCACAATTTCATTTGCTTCGAGGTCTTCCGATGCAAGCTCCTGCATCCGTGTGGTCAGGGCCTGGTGGTACATGCTCAGGAGATTCCTGAAGATCTCATAATGGGGAGGAAAACACTGAACCATCAAGTTTTTGGCAACAATGAGGTCATCTAGGACGTACTTCCTTATAATTTCTAAGTGGCGAACGAGCCACATCTTGTCAGACTCCCTGGTGTCTGCCTGCGTGCCCTCAATTCTGGTAGTTACAGTTCTGTCCAAGATGGCAAACATCTTCTCCTTCCAATTCTTGGGCCTCCCCGGAGGAACAAAGCCAGTTTGCTTTTTTCGATCAAGTATGCGCCTGTCAATCTTTTCTTCCCTTTCGATGATCCTGACAACTGACACCAGCAAGGTAGGGTCACGGCGGACAGTGACCAGCGACCTCTGTAGCACCATCCACAGCTGCTTGGCCAGCTCGTCAGAGAGTCCCTGTGTGCTCCCAAAGTAGCTGTGGATGAGGGTCATGTCACGAGTGTTCCCACTGTCTATGCGGTACTGCTCGTACATCAGACCGTCCCGGGAGCACTCCAAGTCCATCAGCTTCCGGTGGGCCTGCAGGAGCGCCCCTTGCTCGATGAGGTCCTGCGTTTCCCTCACAATCTCAGGCACTGGGGAAAAAGGCACAAGATGGTACTGTAAAAAACCACATAAGGCTGTGCAGGATTCTGGAAAAGCGGCAGAGGAGGAAGCACGAGGAAGCACGAGGAATCTGTCTCCCCACTACCTGGACAATTGCACTGACAGAATCTGTCTGATGTAATCACTATGGAACTCTAGAGTCTACTGAAGGCTTGCAACTTCCAAGGGAAGCCTGTGACAGTAAACTGCAGTTAATTTTAGTCACTTTCAGCTCTCATACAACAGCAGCTACTGTCCCCCACCTGCCACCACGCCTGCCACATTTACAGAGTTTATATATAGCTTTCAGGAGGCAGAGTATGCAAAAAGGGCCCTGACCGCCACATATTGGGGATTTGTGCTCCAATTGTTGATTGCTGCTTCTAATCACAGAGGTGCAGAGAGAAGTGGATACCACTGTTGCATGTCTCCTTTATTGTTGCAAGCCTCTCCCAAACTAGGTAAAGTGACTCCCAGGGAACTTACAGGACCACTGCCTTTTTATCGCTTTCATTTTTCTCTTTCTCCCTTTTGGAAACAAGGTGTTTTAAAGACTAGAGGATTCAAAAGCAACCTCATATAAAGGGGAATTTAGAAAGTGACTGCACAGGCCCAGGGAAAGGCAAAGGCTTAGGAAAGACTTGAGAAGACCTTCAGTTTACATCAGTTTAGCACAGATTGCCTATAACAATTTAAAAAAAAAAATCAAAACCAATAAATAAAAATCAGCATTCTTGGGGAAGAGAAGAATCTGATTGCGAGTTACAAAGTATTAGATTGAAATGTCTAGTGTTCAACCAAAAGAATCACAAGGCATACAATGATACCGGGAAGTATGAAGGTTCAAAGTAAAAAATAAATCAACAGAAACTGTCCTTGAAAAAGACTAGATGGCAAACTTATTAAACAAAGGTTTTAAAACAAGACTTAAATATGCTCGAAGAACTAAAGGAAGACATGGAGAAAGTTAAGAAAATGACACATGAACAAAATGGGAATATAAATCAAGATACAAAAAATTAAAAGGCACCCCCCCACGCCCCAAACTCAGGGACTAAAAAGTATAACTGAAATGAAAATTTTACTTCAGGGATTCAAAGACAGATTTGAGTAGGCGAAGAGAGAATCAGTAAACTTGAAAATGATACAACAGACATTATCAAGTACTAGAAACAGAAAGAAAAATGTCTTAAGAAGAGTGAACACAGCCCAAGGGGCTTCTGGAACACCATCAGACAGATCAACATGCACACTGTGGGAATCCTGGAAGAAGAAAAGGGGGAAAAGGGGGAACAAAGATTATCTGAAAATTGTAAAAAATTTACCAAATTTAATGAAATACCTGAATACAAACATCCAAAAGTTCAACAAACTCCAAGTCAGAAAAACTCAGGTACCCATACTAAGGCCTTGTAAACAAACTGCTGAAAGCCAAAAACACTGAATCCTGAAAGTAGCAAGAGAGGAGCAACTCGTTACATATAAGAGATCCTCAATAAAATCATGAGCAGATTTCTCATCAGAAACTTTGGAGACAAAGGACAAGTGGGCTGATATATTCAAAGTGTTAGAAGGAAAAAAAAAAACTGTCATCCAAGCATCCTACATCTGGCAAGACTATACTTCAGAAGTGAAGGAGAAATTAAGACATACCCAGACAAACAAAAGCCAATGGAGTCCATGACCACTAGACCTGTCCCACCAGAAATGTTCAAGGGAGTCCTACAAGGTGAAATGATGGGACATTAGACACTAACTTGAAGCTCTGTGGAGAAATAACTATCTCAACAAAGATAAACAGATGGGTAATTGTAAAAACTAGTAATTTTGTAAATTTGGTTTGTGACTCTACTTTTTATTCTACATAATTTAAGAGACTAATACATTTGGAAAACAAAATTATTAGTCCAAGGCATGTATTGCTGTAACTTTGGTTTATAATTCTACATTTTGTTTTATATATAATTTGAGAAACTAATGCATTAAAAAACTATTAGTTTATGTTTCTAGACACACAATGTATAAATATGTAATTCTGGGACACCAATAACTGAAAGGAGGTGAGGACAGAGTTGTAGAGGTACAGGGTTTTTATACGTTCCTGAAATTAAGCTTGCATAAATTTAAAGTATTTTAACTTTAGGATGGTTAAATGTAATCCCATGGGAACCACAGAGAAAACAGCTACAGAATATACGCAAAAGGAAAAGAGAAAATAATTAAAATATTTCAGCACAAAAAAGTCCACTAAACATGTAAGTAGACAATAATGCAGAACATAAAGGATGAAAAAGCTCTAAGGCATATAGAAAACAAATGGGAAAATGACAGAATTAAGTCCCTCTTTATCGGAAGTACTTAAAATGAAAATGGATTAAACTCTCCAAAAGATTGGAAGAACTGGTAAAAATCACACAAGAAACTCACTTGATATCGAAACCACAAATAGATTGAAAATAAAAGGATAGAAAGATATTCCATGCAAATAGTAATCAAAATGGAGCAGGGGCACTTATATATCAAACAAACTACTGAAATTTTTAAAAATTAAGAGACAAAGAGAATAGCATATATTAATAAAAGGTTCAATCCAGCAAGGCTATACAACAATGATAAACATTTATGCACCTAATGAGAGACCATCAAAATACTCACATATGAAGAAAAAGCAGACAGAACTGAATGGAGAAACACAGTTCTATAATAATAGCTGGAGACATCAATACACCACTCACAACAATGGCTAGAAAAATCAGACAGAAGGTAAGAAAATAGAGGATTTAAGCAACACCATAAACCAATAGATCTAACAGACATATACAGAACACTCTACCCAACAAAAAGTGTACACACATTTTTCTTAAGCACACATGAGACGTTTTCCAGGATAGACCACAGATTAGACCACAAATTAAATCTCAATAGAGTTTAAAAGATAGGTATCATCCAAAGTATCTTCTGTGACCACAATGGATAAAATTAGCAACCTGTAACAGATGAAAATTGACAAATGTGAGGAACTTAAACAACATCCTCTTACTCAATGGATCAAGGGGAAAACCACAAGGGAAATTAAAAATACTTATGGACAAATGAAAACACATTTTAAAATTTACAGGTTGCAAGGAAAGCAGTGCGAAAGGGGAAGTGTATAGCTATAAACACACTGAAAAGGAAGAAAGATTTCAAATCAACCACCTAACTTTACAATTTAAGGAACTAAAAAAAGAATAACAAGCTAAACTTAAAGCTACCCCAAAAAAAGGATATAATGATGATTAGAACAGAAATTTTTAAAAAAGAGGAAAATAGAAAAAAATCAACAAAACCAAAATGTAGTTCTTTGAAAAGATCACAACTGACAAATCTTTAGCTAGATGGACTAAGAAAAAAAAAAGGCTCAAATTCTAAAATCAGAAATGAAAGTGGGGACATTACTACCAATTCTACAGAAATAAAGAGAATACCATGAACAACTGTAGACCAACATACTGGATAACCTTGAGGAACTGGCAAATTACTACAAAGACACAACCTACTGAGACTAAGTCATGAAGAAACAAAATCAAAATAGACCTCTGTCTAGTAGGGAGCTAAGAGGAGGGGTAATGGGGAGCTATCACTTAATGGGTGTAGTTTCAGGGGGTTTTTCTTCCAGTATTGAGATACAATTGACATATTGCACTATACGAACAGGTTCAGTTTGTAAGATGAAGAGTTCTGAAAATGGATGATGATGCTAGTAGCACAATATGAAAGTACTTAATACCACAAAGCTGTACACTTAAAATGGTAAAGATAGTAAACTGTGTATTATATGTATTTTCATTTTTAAACAGTTGGGGGGAAAACATGCGCAGGGCACTAGTGAATTACAGGCAATGAGAAAAGTCTAGAGGGAGCCAAAGCAGCACAGTATCCTTCCAGGAAAAATCTCCTTCTAACAAAAGAAGTTATACAATGTAGGCACATTTGTTCAGGAAGGGAATGGAATTATTTTCAACTTCTGTGGATAAACTACTTCCATTAAAGAAACTTTTTGGTCATTTGGCATCAGCTTTACAAGGTAGGAGAAAATGCTGCCAGTCCACAGGCAAGTATAAGAGGAGGAAATTAACTAGGAAGGCACTAGCTTAATGTCATGAAGGAGATCCTGGTGTGAGGCCTTTGTTCCAATTCCAGGCAGTCCACAGTCATCACCAGGAGTTGCTTCCTAGGCACCCACCATGGAGTCAGTAGCGCTGTGCCATTAATGGGGGGACACGAGAAGCAACTCAGAGCGTGGCCCCAGGAAGATGAACACTCATGAAGCAATGGGGCCAGGTACTCAACAGCGCTGCCATGAGACACAGGAGTAAGAACAGGACACAGATCACCAAGCTACAAGGTGGCAGGAACAAGGCTTCCTGTGCTATGGATTCACAGTGGTGGGCAGGTAGGAAGAACTGCGCTAGGTTACACTCAGGGGTCAGGCAAAGTTTGGGGAAAGACAGAACTTGCTGAGACCAGACGTAAGATGAAGGCAGAGAAGTGACCAGACCATCCCAAAGATTCTTGCTGGGATACTAGAGAACCTGATGGAGGCAAGGGGACAAGGGGAAGGACAGGACCTGGGGTGGGGGGCGGCACACAAGGAGCTCCCGTCACAGCACCATGTGAGGAAGCTGTGCTGAACACAACAGGGAGCCCACCTAGGTAACAGCTGACAGCTGATACTTTCCTGAATAGGCCATGCAGCACTTTCCCTACCATTATGGAGGTGTTGGGAGATTACTCTGAAAGGGTCCTTCCCACTCCTTCCTGCCCCCCATCATCCCCACCACCCCCACAGCCTCCACCAGGTCTGGTTCCAGGTAAGACTGAAACTCCAGAGTGTGCCCCACCCCTGCCCTCCAGGCCACTGGCCTTTGCATACTCTTCCTCCTCCTGGGAACTGCTGCTCTCCTGAATCACGTCTCCATCTGATGATTACTCCCTCTCTGCCCTGTTCACAGGGCTGCTTCTCTTGCAGACCACAGGGGTGGTCTCCTGAAAGGATGTGGCGCATCTTTATTCTTCTGCCGCTGGCAGAGTCCCAGCTGGCCTACCTTTCTAACAACAGCCACCCTACTGCTGAGTGAACACACCTCACACAGCAGTGGATGTTACCCACGTCTGTGCCTCTGTCCTGACAAGCACAGAACTACTAGCCTTTACTTGCTCAGTTAATCATTTCCACCCATGTTCAAAATAAGAAGCTAACTGTGCAGGTAAAAATCACGCTTACTGCTCACTCTGAAACAGGTCTACAAAACACACTGCGCAGAAGCTGGACCACCTGGGCATCACCCAGAGTAACGAAAACCAGGCCAGAGCTGTGGGCATGAGCACCAGCAGCACTCTACCCTGTGATGCCTGCGGTGCCCAGCTGCCCTGCTATCGGCCCAGCTACCTGAGAAAATGTTCTTGAGGTTCTCCACGGCAGCAGCAAGCTGGCTGTGCCGCACCACGGCATCCTTCACGTCCTTGAGGCTCTCAATGGTGTTGATGCTCTGTCTCCAGTCCTTACTGACATCGCCCAAGGACCGCTGAATGTCCTTCACATCATTCAGTGCGTTGTGGAGCTGGCTCAGGCCTGTGCGCACCCCGTCTAACTGCGACTGGATAGCTGCCTGGGGGAGACGGGGCAGTGAGCGGTGCTGGGCAGCCACAAACAAAGCTTCCCAGGAGGCTCAAGCACAGAAATGCCATTTCAGTAGCAGGGAAAAGGCAATACGCAGAGAAAAGAGAGTAAAACTCAACAAGTACCTAATTGATTCTCAAGAGAACTTTTTATTTTCTTCATTAATGCCTTGGAAATAAACAGTATCTTTTAAAGGTTTTTGAGAAAGCCTCACAACACCCCTCACCCAGCCCCTCCACCTGAAGGGAATGGATGCCACTGCGGGTGTGCCTCAGGCCCTATGGCCACGCCTTAAATGGTATCTTTAGAAGGACCCCTCCTACGATCTCCCAGGGGCCTGTCAGTTTCCTAACAGGCCTTATCTCAGTGCAGAAAACTGTCAGGACCTGCTCATCAGCTTTAGAGATTAGGGGTCTCCTGCCATTCGGCCTGAATCAGACGCCACTCAAGGCCAGCCAGCTCCACTGTGCAGAGCTGGTGCATGTATGGTATGGACTCATTCTGCAGGCCCACTGGAATGCCACCCAGTGAACTGTACATTCAGAAGGAGAGAGTATGACAGAGGACACAGGTGGAAGGGAAGGGAAAGACCAGGTAGCACAAAAGAGGCCAGGAACACCTTTAACCCAGGAGTGTTATGTTGCATTTAGAAATAATTAACAACAGACTACACAAGGTTTCTAAGTCACTATTGATAATCCTTACTTAATCCCACAAGTTTCTAGAACAGATTAAAATTCTGACTAAAAAGGCAGCAAGTCCACACTCTTTAAAATTAATATGAAACTGCTGTTTGAAATCCATTCATGGTTTTGGGATGCTTCCTTGGTACAAATGGCTTCATTCTGCCTCACCAAGGCTGCCCTTACCTTACCTGGATGCTAGCATTTTCTAGTGGAGAGCTGACCTCACTGCCTTATCAGTGTGAGAATTCACTTTCCTCAAAGCCAAATTCTCAACCAGGGGTGTCTACCCTGCGGCCCAGGACGGCTATGAATCACGTCCAACACAAAATCAAAAATTTACTTAAAATCTTTTTTTGCTCATCAGTTTTCGTTAGTGTTTGTGTATTTAATCTGCGGCCCAAGACAGCTCTTCTTCCAGTGTGGCCCAGAGATGCCAAAAGGTTGGACACCCCTGCAATCATTCTGCTGCTTGTTAACCATAGCAGCCTAGGGTTTTTAACATTTTTATAACTATACTGAATGTGTATATTTTAAAGAAATCCCCCCTTTTCATATGAATTAAGTTGAAAACCAATACAAATCATAAAATATCTTGAAAAGAATGCTTTCTTGCCCTTCTCTCACACACTCTTAATACACGTGCCTAACTCTCTTCCTCCCTCCTACCCCAGGGCCAGCAGAATACCTGGCACACGGTAAGCCTGTTACAGCATGTGCTGAAGTGATCTAAACAAAATATCCTCAGGAAGCACTCTGTAGAAGAGCTTTTAAAAAGTGAAGTGGAAACTCCAGGTGCTTACAAGGATTGTTCCCCTGGTGTTTTCAATATCCCCACAATCTCATTTATAAATCTACTGACTGGTAACAGACTGTTGGACGGAATGTGCGAGGTAGAGGTAATGCTCTGCTCTGTCTCTTTCCAGGTCATCACTAAGTCTAATTTAGGAAAATTACAATAATTAAGTTAAGAACCTAAAACTCAAGATAAATAACTATGTCCTGCCTGAGGATTCAACAGGTGCCTGTGGCCTCTCTGGCCTCATACCTTTAGTCTGGCCTCCACGGAGGCCTTTTTCCGGGCCTCTCTTCTGCGATACTGCTCCACTTTGTCCAGCTGGTCTGGGCGCTGAAGCATCCCCGCAACCCTTTGGACTGCTGTTGCAACAGCCTCCCAGTCAGTCTCCTTCATGGTTAAAAAGCAGGCAGAATCTCAGAACCTGTCATACTAGAGTTATGAACCCTGTGTGCATGAGGGAGAGGGAACAAGAGGGGAAGCATGTTAGTAAGGTAGTAATATTAGATACACAATTCATCCCCCCACCAATAGTCAGTGGAGTTATAAGGAGAGCGTTTGATTAATCCAGTAAACCTGAAAGAACAGTGGAGTATGATTATCAACCCCTAAATAATCAATATAAACCTCAAGAACTCAAATATGGAGAAAGTTCTACCTTTAGGGGGAGCAGTGGCATTCACAAGTATAAGATATGAACACATAGAGGATGTCTCTATGTGGACCCCATACCACTCAGCATATGCAGACATCAGTCTCCAAGGCATTTCTCTTGCCCAGAAAGGTACAATCTCTAATTTCAAAAGCCATCACACCACTCCTTGGCCATGCTTGTGGGGCAGCTGTAGCAGAATGGCTCAGTGAGAGGCACAAGGACAGTACACATCACACCCCAGCTTAAGTCCCAGCACACATCCTACGATAACCCTCAAAAATTACTCATGTCTGTAACATCCAGATTCCTGTTTCCTACTACTTAACAGAGCCTAGTAAACAAAGGTGAGAGGACAGAAGACTCACGTACAACAAAAAGAGATGCTCCAATACCAAGCAAACCTGCTTTAACCCCAGCACCACCAACATCCTGGTCATGGACTTAAAAGGAAGAGTTGGTGAGTGTCTGGCAAATGAGAGCATCAAACAAGAGTCCGTTCTGCTTGTCTTCAGCCACTGAACTTTCATTTTCATGCATGTTTTCTGTAAACAACTTCTCAAAGACACAAAAAAGACCCACTCTCTCCCTATATTTTCCATTCCCTGTTCCCACATGCTTTCAGAAAAACAATGAAATCCACGGAGAATTTCCTGTGTTAAATAAGTCCTCTGTACATAATATGGTGTTTCATTCCTCTTTTAAATGGAACTACATTGGAGCCACTGTCTTTCTTTCTTGCTTTCTTTTCCTGGTTATGAAGTAATGGAACCAATGCAGAAAATCTGAACAGGCAACCGCGCCTTAAGTCCGCCATCCAGAGGAAGGCACTTCTATCAGGGCTCCCGGTTTTTCCTTTGCATTCCGAAGTTGACATCCACCTGCGTACACAACCCTGTATTTGCTTTATTTCCTTGTTTCACTTTGACATGTTTCCAGCATTGCCAGAGACATTAACACCTGTACGATTTCCACTATGCGGCGGAGAGTCGTACAAGAAAGGATCTCCAGCGACCGCAGGTGCGCAAAGCATCAGTCTGAGCCTCGGGAATGTAGGCGGCCGCAGCTCCGAATGCCGTTACTGGGCACCCTAGAAACCGGACGGTCACTTCGCAACGGGGCCCCCAGACGAGGGGCGACACCGCGGCCGCTCACAGGGAGGCGACGACTGACTGCGGCCCGAATATACTTGGGGTGACGGGACGACAGTGGCGGCTGCTGCCAGGACTGCGTCACCCACTTCCGGGGCCGCGCCGCGCCCCGCCCCGCCCGCCCGTGCCCGGGGAGGGACTGCAGCGGAGGCCGGAGGCCACCGCCCAGGGACCCGCGTCCGCCCCCGCCCCTGTCCGCAGCCCCCTCACCGTCAGTACCTCTGCCGCCCGCCGCCCGACCGGAATTGAGCTGTCCGCGGCCACTTCCGCTTCCGGCCGCACTACCGGAAGGGCGGGGCTGGTGGCGTCGCAGCCCCGGGAGACTTCCAGGATCCACGCGACCTCACCCTCCGGCTGGTTGATTGCTGGTGGGAGGGGCGCTGAGGCCCTCTCCTGTCGGTAAACGGGCCGTCCCTTCCCTCGGACCCCATCGTCAGGACTCACCCTCACCCGCGCTGTTGTCCCGCACGTCCTCGGTAACACTTTTGTGTGTCTCCACCCCGGCGCCCACCTCTGATGCTTCCTGTTCATCTGCTACACCTGTCTGCCTGGCACTGTGTGGAGCCCTGTCCCCAGACCAACGATTGGCATGTGGCGAACGCTCTGTTAAAGAGCGTCACATTTGACACCCGACACCCTTCGTGTCACTTGGCAGTTTCTTCGTTAGCTGTCGTCTTCGCACCCTGGAATCTGACGTGAACTAAATCCGTCGGGGACTACAAACAGATCAGAAAGCCCGTGCGGGGCAGCCAACCTGGCCCTGGCAGCCAGGGAATGCCGGAATGCGAGGCCAGGGGCCCGAGCCCGAGGGGCTTGCAGAACGAAGTTGCCTCGCTGGCTGGGCGCGAGGGTCAGGGGTGTGCAGGGGGTGAACTGGAAAGGAAGCCGGAGAAAGAGGGTCATGCTGTTACTCCCTGAGGAAGAAACATGTACTAATAAAGTTTCAGGGCTTGTCTGTTGTGGCACTATTTACCTTAACTCAAACTGAAAAGGAAACCTTTCACTGTTACCAACTACTAGACTGTACCGATGGGCACCTGCTGGGAGTCAGCCGAGATGGTGCTAATAGGGCAGAGTCCTGAACAGGCAGGGAGCAGATCCGGAGAGGAGGGAGGTGGGGCAGTAGCAGAGGGGATGAGCACCTGCACACAAACCTGTGAATACACACATGCACATGTGATCCCACAGACATGCACGCACCTGGGTGCACAGTGGGAGAGGGGGCAGGAAGACGGAGGTGTGTGAGCCCACCACCATTGCCAGAGAAGCTTTGTTAAATGACTTTTATCTTTTTCATCCTTAAAAACCAGAAGAAGAAAACATTGATTAAAAATCTTTTCTGACTTCTGGGTTTTGGTTTTGTTTTTGTTTTTTGGCAAACCAAATAACTGAAATGCCTCCTATAAAACATTGAATAAAAATAGCAATCACCCATTTAAATGCACAGAAGAATTCACAAGCAAACACAGGAAATGACCAAGGTGACAAAGCAAAGAGGGGAGAGTGAGGTGAGTGAAAACTTCCCCTGGAGTAGGGGTGGGGGGATAGTCCTAATGCCCAAGGTGGGGCCACAGCTCCAGCAGGTGGCCTCTAACACTCCTCCATGAGGCCAGGACACTCAAAGTGTGCGTCAGTGTAAGAGTGGACCAGGGGAAACAAACAACAGCCCCCCAAACCAGCTTCTTTCAGTTACTGGGGCCTCCAGGTTAAAGGAGGCACCCAAGAGCTCAAAGCAAGGGGTCTGCAGTTCACTTCGGTTTACGCCCTCCTCGGTCTAGAAGCTCTCACTAAAACTCACCGCTTGGCAGAAGCAAACCAGGAACATTTCTAGAGAGGCCCCTCCAACATTGGCATGAGTAAGGGGAGTGCAGAGGCCTGTTCTGAAGCATCCTGAGACCTTGTCAGTTCTGAGGGACTAGGGATCTTGATTAGCTCCAACTGAGACCTTGTTAAATAAGCACATACATGACAACCACTGAAGAAATGGAAATAGAGTTATGATTTCCAAGCAAATGGGGAAAGGAACAGAGGAAACCCAGCAATCCCACATGGAAAGGAGGAAATGCCCAAGGATCATATGTAACTAGGAACACTAAGTAGAAATATGTTCAACTATATCAATTATCATAATGCAAGTAAATGGATATCAAAACAGTAAAATAGTTACTAATGAGAAAAGCCTGAAACGGGAACAGAATGGCTAGGCATGGAAGCAGTTTGCCCCTGGCCAGTTGGGGCCAAAAGAGCTGGTGTCAGACAAAAAGAGCTTTATTTCAAAGGTGCTGTCAGAATTACTAAGATGTTAAATACCCGAGTTATAACGAAACAGTTTGCTATGCTAAAATCTTACACTCTTGTATGATTTTTTTAAAAAAATCCTTAATTGAAAAAACAGGCTGCAGACAGCAATCTGTAACTGAGGGGCACTGCTGTCCTGAGCAAAGAGAAACATATCTCCCAGGGAGGGCAAGTGTGCAGGAGAGCAGGGAAGAAAGCAGGTCTGTGCTGCCCTGGGTCTCATCAGTGTCCTCAGGGAGGCCAGGATCCCCTCCCACCCTGCAGCCCTCGCAACCTTCAAACCACAGACCAGGGTCATTCCCACTCGAAGCCCTACCATGCCCTCTTACTCAGACCTACCTGTGACCTGCAGGCCCTACAGGACCTTGTCCCACCCTCTCCTTCCCATCCACGCCAGCTCACGGCCACCTCCACCCCCACCCACCTGAGCTGTTCCTGTACCTGCAAGTCAACTTTGGATCTTGACTCCAACAGAGCCTCCAAGCATGGCCTTGCCCACAAAGCTGCCACATGGCTGCCACCTGCCCAACCCTGGCTAATCCATTTGTGTGGCACCCATCCCCTTCTGATGCATTACAGAACACAGGAGTTCTGTGGTTACTTCTCTTCCCCTTCCTCCATGCACACGTGCGCGCGCACACATGGGTGTCAGCCTCAGCACAGCACAAATGTCTGCATCCCTCCATGGCCCAATGGAAGGATCACAGGCCCTGATGTTCACCAGGGACTTAGCAACTATTGTTGAAGGATGAAACGAAGTAAATACACATAAAACAACTACCATTCACCCTCTGAAAGACAAAACCGAAGTGTTCGACAATACCCAATATTGGTGGGAACATGAGCCCCAGGGCTGCTGGTAGGGTACGGCCGTGGTCTGTGTCCCACAAGCTTCATATGTTGAAACCTAACCCCAAAGGTGATGGTGTTAGGAGGTGGACCTTTGGAGGGGGACTAGGCCCTAAGTGTCCTTAAGAAAACATGCCACAGAGCTGGCCCCTCCCCCAGTGAGGACACAGTGAAGACTTGGCAGAGTCCTCACCCACCATCCTGGTCTCAGGGTCCAGCCTCCAGAGTGTGAGTGTCTGTTGAACCCCCATCTGCTGTGGTGCTGCTACAAGGGGACTGAGGCACACATGTAGCAGGACCCCTTTGGAGGATCACGGGCAGCACTCACACTCTTGGGGTGTCTTCAGTCCCGAAGAGCACTTTGGGGGGTCTGGAATTGATCCCCATGCCCATCAGTCCGCACAGGAGCAGAATAGTCACGTGACAGAGTGTGAGTGACCTCTGCCTCAGGTCTCAATACAGGTGAGTCTGAAGAACATGAGCAAGATGGGGAGGCGGCACAGGGGCACAAGCGAGGACAGGCAGCCACTATGGAGGGAGAAGCTGGGTTTGCAAATGGGGGGTGGCAGACCTGCTCTCCCCTGTGAAGAACACAGGGGCCTCAAGACCCCAAAGGAGGCCTGGCCAGGGCTTGACCTGCGGCAGTCAGGGACAGATCCGTGCTCTGTCCAGCGCACCTGAACCGTGTTGTTTTGGCGGTGCTCTTTGACCAAATGAAGGAAACAAAGCCACCACTCTCTGGGCCTTGGGAGGGCTCTCTGCCTGAGCCCTGATGACCCTTGTCCCTTCCCACAGGCCTGTCACCAGATCCTGGGCCAGGCAGGCTGATCCCACAGGGTTTCCACACACGTGGCAGGTGCATCTGCTCTCACTGGTGAAGGCTGGGGTGTCCTGGGAGGCACCTGGAGGCACCTGGGAGGGCCCCTAACCCTCAGTGACGGGCAGGTGAGGGGCTGGCGGGCGGAGGGAGAAAGCACTCCTAGGCCACAGCAAGGATGCTGCCCAGCTGGCCAGTCTCCCTCCTCCCCGTGACTTTTGGCTCCACCATGTTTATTTTTACCTTTATTATTGCCTTGTACCTGGGGTAAAGAACTGTCTTAGAATGTAAGTTAACCAACACACATTTTTTTAAAGGAAATAAAGTGACTTCATTTGAAAAAATCAAGCAGATATTTCCATCCATGATAAACCCATATTACCATGATTTATTTTACATCAATATTGCAAACGTAATGAAAACACAGTATCAGAAATACATTTGAAAGCTCTTTCTAAAGGCACCAAGAAGACTAAAAAGTTACATTATAGTCATTCATTTGTCAAATTTAAAAAAAAATCAGTCTAGATATCAAAACCTTTTTTCTTCTGGTAGAAACTGCCAACATATAAAATATAGTTTGTGTCTATCTCCTCCCTTCCATCCCATCCCCACCTACTATTTGATTGTGATCTGTTTCAGCAACACAGGCAAAAGCCACAGTCGACAGGACAGCACAGGGAGTAGCCAGCGCCGCTGCCGACATCTCAGAACAGCAATGCCCCCGCTGCACCTCTGCCTCCCGGCATCATCGCCCCCACACGGTTTTCAGGACAGACAAAGCAGGTGAAATGACAGGAGTGCTGACTCGGGGAAGTTTTGTTGCTGCTGGCCCAGCAGAGCAAGGGACCTGGGCCCAAGCACAAGGGACGTCTCAAGGATAGAAAACCTATGGAGTTGAGGTC